TCTGTGTGCAGGAAGCAGGGGGCAGAGAGAAGTATCCCCCCTCACAGGGTTGTGAGGTAGAGGGAGCCCAGATGCAGTGCTCGCCAGTCACCTGGCTCTGCGGCACACGAGTGCACCCTCAGTGCTGTGGACCCCCCCAGCTGATGGGTCACCACAGTGCCAGCAGCTGGCAGGCTGGGTCTCATCTCCATAGTTTTTTCCTTCAGAAGTCTGGGATTTCTGGAGAGACAGGGTTTCAGGTTGAAAGGAAGGTGATCCATGTCCCTCATGCTTGTTACAGGTGTATAAGTTGATTTTTCTTTTCAATGGCCTGTTGTAAGCTTCTTTTTTTTAATGACTCTATAACAACCTTAGTGCTCATGCATAGACCCAGAGTAGCTGAGAGCGGAGCTGGTGGTGCGTTGGCCCATCAGGGGCCACAACCTTTCTTCTGGCGGTCTGTGCACCTGCCCAGACAAGAAGCCGCCATGCTTCCTGGCTCGTCTTTTAAATCTGCTCCATCCTTACTTTTCTGCCTTCCTGTACTGAATCATTGCTCTGTCTCCAATTGTGACTTGCCTCTGACTGAGTGGAAGCACAGTGATCCATGAAGCCTCCTTTACTTATCAAGAAGGCCCTGGAGGCGCTATAATTACCCAAACCCAAAGTCTGTCTCCAGGTATCCCTGCTTAGGGGAACAGATGTGTTGGCAAAGTTTGCTGAGAAGTTAAATTACGTTAGAGAATTCTATTTCTTATTTACTTCAGCAGGAAATCAGAGTAAGTGTTGGACCAGAAAAATGTTGATGTAATTAAAGCAAAATGATGACTCTTTAATTTTTTGATCATATATAGTAACACTTATTTTATTATATTAAAATAGGGACAGTGAGCCTCAGATTATCAGTTAAGAACTTGTTCTACCCAAATAATAGATCACTGGGTTAAAAAAGTGAAAAATAGAAGCCTAACATGGCCCAGCATGGCCCAGCATCATCCAGCACCACCCAGCACAACAGATGCCAGCCTGGCTTCAGATGGCTGTAGCACCAGGATGCCCATGTGTCTGATATGACCCCAACAGACACTCTGCTCTGTCACCTCTGTGCTATTGCTCATCCATTCCCACCCCCACAGCACCCAGGTTCCTCTGGCTCATCATCACATGTTAAATCATCCCCTTAAGAGTCAGCTAGATTTTTGCTTTCTGGAAAAGACCCCACATCCCCCATTGTGGCCCTTTAAGCCTGCCCTCGCCTTCCACCATGTGTAACGACCACTGTGTTTTACCTCTCCTGCTAAACTTGTCTTTTACACCTTTGTGTCCCCTCTCCCCTCAGTCCTAAGCCCAGAGCCTGATTAATATTCAGGAAAATTTCAGCAAAGTTATGCTGTGGCAACAAATAACCCCAAATCTCAGTGACTGACCACACCAATGACATTTTTATCCCTCACTATCCCCTGTCCTTCCCACTCTGACTGTGTTCGTCCTGCTTCCTGTTGTCTTCCTTTCAAGACATGGATGGAGGAACCAGCCCCACATGGAACCCCTGTGGTGGTGGAGGAGAGGTAGTGGCCACACAGCCCTCAGGAAGCTTCTGCTGGGAAGTGGCCATGGCACCTCTGCCTGCAGGCCACTACTAGTCCCTGTCATCAGACCAGGAGTGCATGTAGTGTTCCCTCAAGAAGGTACTGTCCATGGTTGGGTGCCAAACCTTCTATAGGAGGGCAGTGGATGTTTTGAGTCTCATGGCAGAGTTGACGATACCTCCAGCTCCAAAAACTTCCCCATGAGCTCTCTAGCCTCTACTAGTTTTCTAAATATCTTTATAGCTGTTTCCCCTTTCCTTTCTGTGGTATGAGCACACTGGTGCTCACCTCACCTTGCAGAGGGCCTGCAGCTCAGAAGTAAGGCTCTGGCCCTGCTAAGTAGCCCACATTCTTCTGGGATATGGCAGACTTGGAGTAAGGAGGTCGTGAACCAGCACTTTGCTCTCACAGCAAATTGAAACCGAGTCAGGGATAGCCACTGTGTTCTCAGGGCTGTTGGTTGATCCAGCTGATACTGGATGGGCACACTGGGGACAGAGCACCCACCCAGGGAGTTGACTGTCCTAACTACCCGTGGGGCCAGTCCACCAGCATCCTGCCCACAGCACCCAACTCTGTGGGGCTCCCAAAGCCATCATCCAGAATTTCAGAAAATTCCAGAAACCTCTGGAATTTTACTATTGATCTAGGTGTCTCCAGAAGTCCCAGAAGTTTCCTTATTACTACACTGGCAAGTTCTCTTTCCCCAGGGCCAGAGTAGCTCCCTGGCTAGGGTGTCAGGAGCCATCACACCCCAGACTCTGGATCACAGTTCTGGGATAGCCTTGTAAGCCCTGACATGAGACTTGTGGAGAGAATCTTCACTTTGCATCTTAACCTTTACATTCCTTGTTGTTTGTAGGCTATCCGTATATCACCACATGCCAGAAATTGCTGGGCTAAAAGGCTTTTTAAAAATAATTTCATGCATTTTAAAAAAAGCATTCTGAGCTGATATTTGCGTTTGCCATACACCACAAATGCTAAGGTAGGAGAACAAAAAGATAATGATTCATCAGACGCTCCATCGGTCTCCAAACCGAACACACTTTACACAGAACAAGAATTGCATTCGGGGTTGTAAACAGTGCCTTTCTGACAGTCAGGCTCTTCTGTCAGGGTGGAAATGCAGGAACTTTCAGGAACCAAAGAATAAGTCTCGAAACCAACACGCTTCGCTCCATGTTCGCACATACTTCTCTCCCCTGCTGTGTCATCGTCAAAATGTCTTTGTTACCTGCAGTATTTCTATGGCACGAAAGTGCTCTGCTTCGGGGTAGCCAGTGGGTACATTAAGCATCAGCTGGGGGACAGCAGTGTGACTCAGCTAGTCGAGTGGGACCCGAGGGCTTTGTCCGACAGCTGCCAACCCCAGTGGAGGGGCTCATAGGTCCCAGAGTTCAGGGGTTCGCCTGGAGCTCATGAAGGCCACCTGTGTCCAGGATGGGCTTCTCTTACCTCAGAGCTCTTATGTCCCCAGGTTTGGCTGTGCCTTAACCAAGGAAACCCTGGGGGTGGGTGGGTGCCACACACAGACAGTTCTAACCAACTATCAGGGTAATGGCCATGCTCAATTTTGCCTTTCACATTTTAATTGTACAACAGTAATTTTGCAATAGAGTTGCCGATGGCAAACATGCAAAAGACATTAACTTTATTTATGTTTTGGATTATTAATGTGGCTGTTAAAATTCCTCCAGTTAGTTTTGATTGAATTGTTTTTTTGTGTGATTCTGTTGTTTAATGGAGCGGTAAATAAGAATTTCTGATAATGAGGCCGAGCATCTGTCACAACAACCTGGTGCGGGTTATTAACATTTCCATTAACGGCAGGGTGGGCAGCGATAATACGGGAACCACACAGTTAGAACAAAATAAATAGTTGATGTCAGGCTGAGTGGGTGTTAATTACTATTTTATTCTACGTGGGGTGGGGGTGAGCAAAGTGGGGAGAGAAGACCTGAGGAAGGGGTGACTCATGAAGGTCAGCGTCTCCCAAGAAGGCTCCTTCAGAGAGCCCCTGTATGGGCTGTCTCCCTCAGACAGCGACTGCTTTATCACGTCCATCTACGGCCTGTGAACAGTCCAAGGCAGGACTTCTGGGCCTGCGGCCTACACTAAAATGGTGACGGGGGCTGTGCTGGCCCTCTGCTTCCCACAGCCAGGCCCCCAGCACAGGTCCTGGGGCCCAGCCCAGCACAGGTTTCACTGGGGAGTGTCCAGGTAGAAAAGGGAGTAACTCCCAGGAGGCAGGGGACAGGCCGTCTGCACATGTGTCTAGCATGGAATTCAAACACTGCAAGAAACTGGAAGACCGAGAAGAGAGGCATGTTCTGAAAAGCACTCATGTGTGCTTGTGTCTTCTCAGCTCCCAGCTGCTGCTCCTGAGGCCATGGCCAGGGCGTCCTCCTTGGTCACCTTTCACAAACTTTCACATGCACAGACACCCCACTGACACAAACACAGCCCCCGGGAGAACCCCTGAGGTGGAGGGAAGTCTGAAATCGAGGACTGGATCCTCATAATTTGAAGCCATAGGTGGCCTCACAGAACAATTAAGGGGTGATGGCATCTGTGTTCACATCCCTGTGTCTGCAGACCAAGTGCGTGTGGAACAGGACTCACCACAGGACCCCAAACCTGTGGTGGGAGCACACACGCCTTTATTTCCTCTAAACCCCATCTGACTCTGGCATTTCCCTCCATTATGAACGTGGCCAACAAGCCACAGCAGGGACCGCAGAACCTGTGACTCAGCATCTGAGCCCATAGAAGTCCCCCATCGAATCAGGGCTGTTACTGACTCACTAGACATCACCCACACACGTCTCTGCTGAGGCATCCCAGCAGCTTCCCGGCCAACAACTCAGCCTACTTCATGGCGCATGAAGCACAGAGATTGCCATATCTTGCCTTTGTTTCCTAACACCCTGCTGTGTCTCAGCGTAATCGGTTTTCTTTGGAATGCTCCCTATTTTATTTTATGCATTTAAAATCATGCTTTCAGGGCCTCCCCTGGTGGCACAGGTGGTTGAGCGCTGCGCTGTGAAGCTGTCCACAGCCTCTGCAGCACCGGTTCGATCCCGGCCGGCCGGCGAGGGTCCCACATGGCACGGCGGACCTCTCCTGTCTGGCCCGCTGCTCCCCTCAGCAGTGTATTTCATCAGTCTGCCTGTTCTGTTCCCCACTCTGTCTCTAGTGAATCCTCTCACCCTCCCGCACATCTGATCTGTACCCCGGTTCTTGTATAAATAAATAAATAATCTTTAAAAAAAAAATCATGCTTCCAGGGAGGGCAGGCAGCGTTCCCTGGAGTCAACACTGAGATGGTCCAGAGTAGATCCCTTCGCAGTGTCTCCCCTGGAGTCGGGAGCCCCGCCCCTGTGAACACACATACGTGTCAGCTGCTCTCCTGTGTTTCTCTCTCCTCAGCCCCGGCCATGGCCCCGCAAAATGTCCAGGTGAACCCGCTCACGGCCAGCCAGCTGGAGGTGACGTGGGACCCGCCGCCACCCGAGAGCCAGAACGGAAACATCCAGGGCTACAAGGCAATGCTCCCTTGCATGGTTTGGGTCTCCCTTCAGGTCACTTGTACACCAAGCATCTGGGCCTAAATCCCCAGCGTAGAGGCCTCCGTGACTGCTGCCTTCAGTTCCTTTTGTCCTGCTCTTTTCCCACGGCAGACGCACGGCCAGCCCTCAGCCTGTTGCGCTGTGGGTGATACTAAGCGCTGGAGCAGGCCTAGCCTGACCGGGCCTCTGGGCCCCTGGGGAGGGGAGCTCGGTTCACTGTATAGCCCGTCTGTGCCCAGGTACCTTTTCCTTGCTCCCTTGACCCACTCTGGACTCTCTGAACCTTTGTTGACCATAAAACAGAGTGCACTGAAGAGAACAGGCTCTTCTTCCCAGCTCTGCCCTTGGTCACTGTGTGAGTCCCTTGATCAAATATATGGGGGGGAGGGGACCCAGAAATTTGCATTTCTAAGAAGTACCCCAGGGGACTGTGGTTCCAAGGAACTCACTTTGAGAACCATTGCAATAAACTATGATTCCACATTAGCTCTGTAGTCTAGAAGTGACATTTAAAAAGACAGCAGGCCATGCCAACAACAGTGCCAGGGGGAGGGTAGTTACAGAGTTGGTTTATCTAGAGAGTTTAGAAACCTGTGAGATCAGCTATAACCATCCTGGAGAGAAGAGCCCGCGAAGCTTCTCGGAATCCCCCATCCTTCTCCAGAGTGGAATGTCCGTGTCTGATCTGTTAGGACCCAAGTTGATCAGTTATCAGATTCTATAGCTTAGCCTGCCCTGATGAGTATTGGACCAATTAAACATCCATTTGAAAATGATTTTTGTAGGTGTTTTATGAAAACGAATACCTTCCTCCCCGGCAGGGTTGTTGCAGTGATTAATGAGGTAACAGGAAGTCCCTGAGCCTGCAGGCAAGGTGCTATTTATGTATGTCCGAAATATGTTTTCTAATTTCCTTAATGACACAGACATTGAACCTGGATATTGATCTCAAGGTAGTAAGGCCTATTAGAGCGAAGCATCTATTTGCTCAGTTCGGAGAGCAGAAGCTGGAGGCATCTTGCAGGTGGAAGTGAGTGATACTCACTCTTGGGGCCCTCCAGCCTGCCCTGGACGCACGAGTGTGCCGAGCAGGAGACTTGGCCCGAACCTGGGCCTGCACTTGAAGGTCCTGGCTTGGCCTCAGCCCACAGAGCTAAGACGGGACCATGAACCAGTGCTGCCTTTGGAAGCCTGGCTGGCCCCAGCTTCGGGCAGTGGTTCTGGGTCAACTGACAAGGGAAGCAATTCTAGCAGCCTCTTCCTCGCCAGGCATTGCATTCACCCAGGGGCACAGCACAGCAAAATGACAGGAGGTGGGGGAACATGAGGCCTCCCCACAGTGCCAGGCCCTCGTGGCTCTTCACCATGGTATTTGTGAGCCTCGAACAAAATGTGGGAGCACGGGTGGAAGCCGGGGGGCTTTCTGTAGTCACAGGCTGAGGATGAGGAGATGTGGTTAGTGTTTCTTCTCTCCAGATGACAAGGGAAGGAGCAGAGGCCATAAAAAGGCACCGGGAGAGCTGGTTCTGTGAGAGAGGGCGCTGAAAGAAGGTCCCTTCCACCCTGCCTCGTGCAGGGTGTGTCACATGAGGCAGTGCTCACACTACAGACAGCTCAGAAGCGCTCGCTGCGGGCTCCCCAGACACAGGAGTGGCCAGGAATTCCCTGCATCCTGCGCTGACCCCAGCTAACCCTATTCCATTGGAGAAGTACCCCCTTCCCAGCCAGAACTGCACCCGAGAATGCACCCAGGCCTCCCCCCCAACCCCAGGGTCTCATCTCACTCTAGGTGACACCCTGTCTCAGCTCAGCTCACTGGGCCTTCTTACGCCCTCCCCGTCCCCAACCTCTTGCTTTTTCTAACAGATTTATTATTGGGAGGCAGACAGCCAGAACGAAACGGAGAAAATGAAAGTCCTGTTCCTGCCGGAGACCACGGTGAAGCTGAAGAACCTGAGCAGCCACACCAAGTACCTGGTCAGCATTTCCGCCTTCAATGCTGCCGGCGACGGGCCGAGAAGCGGCCCCAAGCAGGGGCGCACGCATCAGGCGGGTAGGAGAACGTGCTTCCTCTTCGCTGCTTCTGTGGAACACTCCCGTTGAGAGCCAAGACCTGTGTCACCTCCCAGGGGGTGTCCCTGACCCTCTAGGCAGGAGGACCCTTTCCCTCTGTGCCCACATTTCTGTGCCTGCCATGTAGCCCCCATCCTATGTCGCTGGGGTTTCTGAAGAGGCAGGGATTTCTGGGTGTGAATCAGTTCATTTCCCCAGGGCCTGGCCTCAGCCTGGTGTTAGACAGATGTGAGCGGTGCACCTTTTCCGCAGAGCCCCCCAAGATGGCGGCGGGGAGGAGGGCTTTATATCTACTCCTAGGCCTTGTCCATAGCTGGCAGGTGCATCCCAGCCCTGATCAGGGTTTTCCCATTAGTGCACGCAGATCCCTGGGGGGTAAAGCCACAGTATCAGGCATTGTCCTGGGTCTCAGGGCCGCAGACCACCCTGGACACAGTCACTGGCCATCTCTCGTGGGTGGGCTGCGGTGCCAGTCATCACGCTGCAGTGGCCGCGTCCAGCCTACTCACACAGGCACAGTGTGTGTTCCAAGCGGATCATGTTCTCCAGGGCATTTTAGTGTTTCCTGGTGTCCTGGGAACACTGAAGTAGAACAGGGCTCCCCAGAGAACAGCAGCTTGGCCTTGGGGTCTGGGGAGCAGTAGGAGGTTCTTTGTAAGAACCAGGAAGTCAAAGACAAGGAAAGTGGGGAGCATGTGGAACAACAACCCACTCCACTCAGCTCCCATTGGGTTCTCCAACATTCTGTGGGTTCAGCCAACTAGCACTCCACCTCGATAATTCTCCCCCTGGAGACGGGCTTCAAGCATCACGATGGGCATGATGGGCAGATGACCGGATGCTTCCTTGGGTCTCACTCACAGCCTAAGCTGGAAGAAGCTGTAGAACAGAGGGGGGGCTGGGCCCCCTCAGGACACACTGGCCCTGGCAGGTCAGAAGTCAAAGGACCCCCTGGAGCAGGAGGGAGAACAAAAGGGGAAACATGGGTGCTGACTTGGGGCTGTTTCTGACACTGATGGAGGTGGAGGGTCAGGTGGGGGCAGCTCTGGGTTCCAGTGCCCTTCACCGGGAGCCAGGCAGGGGGCAAGGAGAGGCAGGGTCAGTATTGTCCTGGCCACCAAGCTGCCCTATGCACCTGCTAGTAATTTCTTCCAGCTCATATTGGCCCCTTCGCTCTGCTCTTTCTCCAGACCAAGCAGGCCACTGGGCTGGCAGAGTGCCTGAGAGGGCAGGCGAGACCTGAGGGTAGGGGCCTGTGAGGCTCGCAGGCCCCTGGGGGAGAGGAGAGGAGCGGGGGAGAGCTCTCTAAGCACACAGACCCCAGCCCTCCCCAGAAGAGCAGGGCCAGAGCTGCGGGATCCTCCACCAGCCACTGGAAAGTGGAGCAATCTGCATTTCGTTTTCTCTTTCCATCTATTATTCATTTTTATGCTTTTGTCATTGTGTCTCTCGGGCTCCTTTGTGTTTAAGCACCGTCATTTTCTCTCCTCTTCTTGGGTGGGTCTGTGGCTTTTGATTGATCCTAGGAAGTTTGGAGATGATCAATAAATCTTCCTTTCATCCCGTGGCCTTTAGACTTTTACTGGGTTGGAAATAACATCTAATAGCATTTTTATTCTTCACGGAGGCGTAGATCTGTATGTAGATGATCTATAAGGGAGCTTTGTGAAAGTCCCTTTATGTTCTCTTCTTCCAGCTCCTGGGACCCCAAGCTTTTTGGCATTTTCAGAAATAACCTCTACCACACTTAATGTCTCATGGGGCGAGCCGGTGGCTGCCAATGGCGTCCTGCAGGGCTATCGCGTGGTCTACGAGCCCTTAGCACCTGTGCAAGGTAAGGCCAGAAGGGACCCTGGGGAGAACAGGCTCACAGGTACACAATACCCCACAGTGTTTGGAGCCAGCCTCCTCCTCATCTTTAAGTGAGGAACCTTCTGGAAGAGGCCTGGTTACTAAAGGCCTTCTGTGCCCTGGGATCCAGCACAGCACCCACTGCAGACCTATGTGGTAGAGACCCTTGACTTCGTCTCTGTAGCATTCAAGGCATTTCTCCTGTCCTGAGATTCTGGGAGGCACTGGGAGGCTGCCTTTCGGTGCCACTGGTTGGGATCACAAAGGGCGTTGCTGGCGAGGAGCTAGCAGGGCTTCCTGAGAGAGGCGCTGACAGGCCGGCTTTTTCAGATGTGCTTCTGCTACCTTCATCTATTCATTTGTTCAGCAGACATTTATTACGCACCTACTTTTTGTCACTAACCATTCAAGATGCTAAAATCTGTGGGTACAGGAAAGCAAGGATTATAACCAATCTGTTTATTAGGATCCTTGCTTTCCAGAATGCAGCAAGTTTGTATTCCAGGAGTGGTCACATATGGGTAATTAAAACAAATAAGAAAAAATCTGACAGTGGTCACTGCCGTGGAGAAGAAAGTAGAGTGACATGAGACCATTGGGTGGAGGAAGGAGACCTGGGTGATAAGAAGGATCCAGGTCCACAGACATCGTGGGAGGACCTTCCTCCGGAAGGCCCGGACCCTCTTCCCAAGGCTGATCCAGATGAGCACGGCAGAACGTGGTGTGGCGCCGGATTGCATGGGTCATGGTGGGTTTCACTCAAAAATGAAGCCAGTGTCCCTCTGGTTAATTGCCACCATCTCAGTGCCTGGGATAAAAAGAAGACGTATTGATCACTCTGACTTCCGGGATCCATAAAAAACACAGACCCTCTAAGAAGAACAGAGAAAATGTTTAAACATAAAAGAGCTTTGAGAGAGGAAACAACCGAAGCATAACGATGAATAATAGATGGAGAGAGAAAAAGAAATGGATTAGCTTTAGGGGACAGTGGAAGCTTGGGCATATGGAGACCGGGGGGGACCCTTGTGGTTTCTGGCAAGGGAACACATTGCTGGGGTGGTAGGAGGAACATCAGGGATGCATTTGGGAGGTGGTGCCCAGAGTATTTGCCCCTGAATTGGATGGGAAGGTGAGGGCCAGAGGCTGGGGCATGAGTGGCATTGCTGTCATCCACATGGTAGCCACCTGTGTCAGGCAGAGAGGAGACCAGCTCAAGGCAGACTTCCCCCCCGTAATAGGTGAACTGTAAAGATTATAGATTCTTTAATGTCTAGGAGGGAAAAATATAACCAACACATCAGATAATATCGGCTCTCCATTTAAAGCCATGATAAAAGTTGCCTTTTAAAATAAGTACATTTGAGTAAATCAGGGAGTTGATTTGAAGATGAAAATTTAAGCACTAGATTTTATTTTATCGCATCTAAGATGCCATTGAGTATAAGATTCATTGTTATTTTATGAAGTGCTAAGAAAGAAAAAATACTTCCAATAAACTATGGGCAATGCTTTTGATCCATCAATTCTGAGCTGCATCCCAAATCAGTGATGTGAAAATAGAGAAGAAAAAGTGTGTCTCACACAATCGATGAACTTTGGTAAATAACAGAAGAGGTGATATGTGAAAGTAGTTTGGAAAAGGGCAAAGAGGGCACAGCACCACATTGATTCAGCGTGGGTGCATTCTGCTGTGTTCTTGTCAGAACCAAATGCCTGCCTGGCGGCAGGTGGCTGGGGCCTGGCTGGGAGAGGGGTGCAAACTGCAGAGGCCAAGACACTTGCCACCACCTTTGCTCCCCCAGCAAGGAGACAAGCCGAGAATTACAGAGAGCTTCCATTGTGTTCATCAGTGTCACACACACTCCTACCTGCATATACACATATGCATACATACCTAGCTGCACATACACACGTACACCCCTGCCTGCACACACACATCGATACACACACGGGTCCCATGAGATATTAACCAGTTAGTGCCATTGAAATGAGAAAGGATTGGTAAAATCCATGGCTCTGATGGACCTACGAGCCCCTTTTTGTCAGACAGTGAGCTTCCCTACATCACCCTAAGTGAGCGATATATTCTGTGGACCAGCATGTCTATGTTCATGGGACTGCAGGGTCTCTTGCACCTCCATGGCGGGCACCCAGGACCCCGCCCCCTGACTGCTTCTCTTGCTCCCCAGGCAAGACTACACAGTAACCATTGCCCTGTGGGCTGCCGCAGTGGGACTTACAAGCTGGTGACACCCCCATCTCCTGGAGCTATTCCTGGAGTGTGACTGCTCTCCCCACCTTCCACTGGGTGGCCTCCCAGGGAGATGACCCTGCATGTCTGGGTGCCAGGCTGTCAGGGAGCAGTTACTCATCCACTTTCACAGGAGTGTGGGCACTTTAGACAGGTTCTGCTCACACTCAGCTCCCCCTGTGCTCCCTATAAACACACCCCCTCCAAGGTCCTGACTCTGTTGGGTGACCTGTACAGCACCTCCGCCACACTAGGTGCATGCTGCACATCCCTGCACGCTCTCCACTGCATGCTGCTTTTTTCCTCAGTTCCCAAACAAAGTGATGGGCTTGGAGCCATTTGCTCTAAGACATTTGCCAGTGCCCTGCAGTTGGAGAATGATGGACAGAGGTAGGCTGAACCCTGGCAATCAGGTTGAAGAGCCAAGTTCTCATCTGCCACCTGATGGAGAGAAACAGAGTGTTTGTGTTTCTGACACTAAATGTGACTGTGAGCGACACAGACACAGAGCCTGAGGAGCAGTTATTAGAGCTGTTCACGCTCCAGGCCACGAGGCTCACATGGGCTTATCACTCTCTCCAGTGACAACAGGTCACTGTCACAACTGGCTCTGCCTCTTTTCACAGGAAACCAGCAGTCACCAGCATTCTCTTTTCGGGCCTCAGGGATACCTGGCTTTCTCGGCCTGGTTGCCCTGGCTTTGTGACAAGCTCATGGGCTTCAATTGGGAGCAGGGGGAGAAGCCCTCGGCTTTGCTGGCTGCTTCACTTCACAGACTATGAGAATGACCAGAACCTCAGGCACAATTCTTCTTTGGGTCTTCCTGATCTAACCCTTTGATGATGAGAAATACATGACCCTGTCACCATCCTCCTCGGGGCTGACAGCCAGCCAACCATCAGGCCTGGCCCCTATGGCCTCCAGTGGAGAGTCACCCCCACCAGACACCCACACAGAATACGAGAGCCAGGCCACCAGGGCCTCCCTGGCCGGGGGGCCACCCAGGATCATGAGCTCAGTTAAATGGTGGTGGTGGGGTCACACAGCAACATACAGATGTGTATAAGAGGCACAGGGTGAGGTTCCAGGCAGATGCTGGCACTAGCTACTTGTAACTTTAAACACTGCTAATGGAGAGGGATCCTGACCCTCCATGTACGCTGCCTGCCCACCTCCCAGGCTCCTCTCAGCAGTTCCACGAGGTGGGCCCATCAACCTCAGAACAAACAGGGAAACTGAGGCCTACAGAGATCAACTGCCCAGCCCAGCCTCACTCAGGAACAAGTAACAGACCTATGATCAATTCCAAACCCCATTCTCGCACTCCCTTCCCGCTGGCCCACTCTGAACATTTCAGTGAGAATCCACACTTGGCCAAATGTGGAGCCAGCAGTGCCACCCAAGGGTCCTCTCTGCTCTTAGTCACGGAGGGCACTTGTCCCTACTGGGGCTGGTGAGGGCAGGGGGAACTTGGAGTTGAATCTCTGACGGTGCTGCCGTGTAACTGAGAAGGCCCTTCACTATGGGATGGAGTGTGGCTGGGAGTGCACAGAAGACAGCAGGGGGCAGGCACCACTCAACCACAGCGCCTGGCCTGCTCCAGCAGCCCCAGTAGCCCAGCCTCCATGCTGGTCTGACTCTCCCAACTGTCCCGGCTTCTCTTGTTGCCCAGAGAAGTTGCAGTATCTACGACCACCCTCAGTGGCACTGCCACTCTGATCATTGTGCTGGAAGCCTTCGGCGTAAGGCCCTTGGAATGGGGCCTCTTGGAGAAGCCCCATCCTTATCCCCTTCACTGTTGAATCCGAGATTTGCATCAGAGAGCCGTAGGTCATAAACAGGTCGCTTGAGTGATTGGCAGTACTTTCAGATGCCTCATAGAACCCATACACTTCCCAGAATGATGATTGCAGAGGTAGTGAAAACATCAGGCCTTTTTGTTTGGAGCCAGAATTCCATTAACTGTAGTAATTCTGATTCCTTTGTGAAGATTGCCAGAGATAGGCCCATATGTGTATTTGAGTGTCACAAAGATAGAAAAGAATTGTTGTAAAACAATGCTCTCTCATGACTGACTCTAGGGCCTTTTCCATGGCTCCTCACCCAGGCATGGGCAGTATCTGGGACAAGCTTCTGACTAAGATGCACCTGTCCCAGTCAAAGGAATGGGGACCACAGTGCTGATGCAGTGTCGTGCCACTCACAGTTGGAAAACTGTCCTGGCACACCTGCATGCTGAGGCGGGGCCCACATCTGTCCCTGGCTGGCCCCTTGGTCATGGCGGGGCGCCCCAGCCCTCTGCCCACAGTACCAAGCCACATGGAACACTCACTGAACCATGTTCCTGGGAATCTGATTTAATGGTAGAGCTATTTTTATGTTGTAAACTATGTTTTAAAAGGTAGTATTTTATGTGATTGCACCCCGAGGCTTTATAGTGCAGGGCATGATTTAAAAATCAACTAAATAAATAAGATTCTGACACAGTCGAGTATCGCAGGAAGGCCAGACTGGCTCTCCCTCCGGGTGGGAGAGAATCCACAAGATCTTTGTGTGCTTGGTTTTGCTCTGGAGAGAGGGAAACCACTTTGTAACAAAGAAAGGGTAGACTACCCAGAATAACTTTCTATTCAGCCAGACGCTGTCTGTTTGCTGATGACCCACAATGTGTGCACAAACGGTCACCCTGGAAGCCCCTGTCTTGAGCAATGTGAGGAGAGGGTCGGGCTGTCTGGGCAGAAGTGGCCCTGTTTCTCTACATTGGAGGAAAACTCAAATTTAGAGAATGCTCAAAAGCAGTCAAAGAATTCTTTAAAGGAGAATAATTTAGCTGAATAAATGCCATGGCATGAAAATAGTGAACCAACTAAAAGATATTTTGGAGACCAGTAAGATTAGGGAAATTTGCTTTGATGACTTTGAAAGGCGAATGCATTTTATAAAAAGGGAGTTTTGTTCTGCTCTAGGTTTGAAGACACCAAATAGCCGTGCCCCTTGGCGCCCAGGGCAGGCTGACCCCATCCCTGATGGGGATGGCGAGCAGCTGGGCCCAAGGGCACCAGGGGCAGCTCTTCTGAACAACATGGAAAACAACTTTTGCTCACTAAGTCTTGGAATGCCTCATCCTTACACTGTCCTCCAGGAAGCCATGAGCCGGATGTCAGTGCACTGGAAGCACTGAAGAAATCCCGCTGCAAGGACCTTATTTAACTTTGTTCTTGTTTAATGTATCGCCTTCAAACTTAGCTCGCCAAAGAACCCCATTTTCCCTCCTAGAAAATGCTGTTTGTGTGATTTTCACTATGTATCTTCTTCCCAAAAATGTTAAATCTTGGTTTTCTAATTATACTTAATACAACCAGCAGCATTTTTGCTTCATTTGCATATTTATGAGTGAAAACTTTGTCTCTATGTTGTCATATTCTCTAAATCTAGTCATTGATATATGTGATGACAAATGTTCCTCCATCCTTGCTTCAGGATGCAGGGAAGAAGTTGTTAGGTGTTGCTGAGGCCTTTGAGCTATACTTGGCAAATCAGTCTTGCTGGGGACCCCTTGAGGGGACTCCCACCTTTTAGCTAAAGTGAAAAATCTTTTTCCATTTCTCCTCTCCCCCTATAACTAAGTCAGGAAGCTTTTGGTCATCAATACAAGCGACACGGAGCTTTCTTCATTTGAGGACTCCTTCCAGCATGTCATCAGGGGGCTGACCGAGAGTCGGGGGACCAGGCCCTCCTGCAGTATGCACTGCCTGGGCCTGGCTCTCCCCGCTCATGTAATTAGTGAGCCCAGGGGGCCGCCTTCCCCCACTGTGTTGTGAGGTTTGCTTCATTCTTTGTCAGCACTCACTTATCAAGCTTAAACTCTAATTACACTTATCTGTGCTGAAAATTGTCTATTATCACCACTTAAGCGCCTCCTAATTGTAAGAAATAGTTCCTGTGCCAAGTGTAGGCCAGATTTCCTTGTTATCGCAGTGGGATGGACAGTGCTGATTGCTCTTCTAAACATATTCTTGTCTCTGCTTTTGGTGGTTCTAGGGGTTAGCAAGGTGGTGACAGTGGATGTGAAAGGGAATTGGCAGCGCTGGCTAAAGGTGCGGGATCTCACCAAAGGAGTGACCTATTTCTTCCGTGTGCAAGCGCGGACCATTACCTACGGGCCTGAGCTGCAAGCGAATGTCACCGCCGGGCCAGCCGAGGGTAAGCCAACACCACTGTCAGACAGCTCCCACCAGTCGCAACTGGAGCCTCTCTCCTCGCACTCCATCCAGCTCAGGATTCGCCTACCTTCCCTATGACGTGGTAGTGGCCAGCTCGAGCAGGCACGAACACGGGAATATTGTGGCCATGAGGATGTCTTCAAGAGCTTGTGTTAATGTGAACTTCTGCAGTGGATTTGTTAACTAGAGAGGAAAAATTCTTAAGTGTTAAGCCTATAAGGTTTTTGTTTTCTGGGGGAATAAAAGAAAGTTATTGAATTCAATCTCTGAAATAAGATATCGAGAAAATGTGCTTTTCACATCATGAAGAACAGCCATGTGGTTTCCCCCAAATGAGTCTGGCCTTTACTAAGGAGAGAGTGGCAGAATCAAGGCCAGGGAGCTCCTGTTGTTGCCAGGCATCTGACATGCATCAGCTCTTCCCATCTCAGGTCAAGCCCACGAGGCCAGTGTCAGCCTCCCCATATACAAATTGTACTGAACAAGGCTAAGCCGCCTGCCTGGGGATTCAGACTTAGAACCCCGCCCCACCCCCCAAAGCAAGTGTCACCCCTGTTTTCTTTTTCTGCCCAGGTTCTCCAGGCTCCCCTAGAGATGTCCTGGTCACCAAATCTGCCTCTGAACTGACCCTGCAGTGGACAGAGGGCAACGCCGGCCGGGCACCTACCACGGGCTACGTCATAGAGGCCAGGCCCTCAGGTAAGGGTGGTGGCCCACTGGCACCTGCTCCTCAGCCCAGGAGCGAGGACCTAGAGACACTTGAGGCTTTTTCAACCCACCGGTGAGATCCGAGGGTGTTTTCACCAAAGGCTCTGAATGTTCGTTCACAGCCTGGACTGAAAGAGTCACGCCCATGTCAGATTGCTGTGAAGATCCCCATTAATAGTAAGGCTGACACATCTGCTTCATCTTTATGGCTTCTGAAGATGAGGCCCGAGATCATTTCCCACCTACCACCCTAAGAGGGTCCCCCCCTCCAGCCTTCCTCTGATCAACTATAATAACAAAGGATGGACATTATTGAAAAATGAATTTCTAATGGGTTGGGTCTGATATTACTGCTTGAAGCTAGAGCCTGTCACCAAACGCAGACAACACAGCATAGTCACTCTGACCTTCAGATGGTTTCACAGTTAATCATGAATATCTGAGCATGGAAGTGCACCTTGTGCTAGGGATATATTCAGAGAGAGAACCACCAGCACCCCATCCCCACCCCACCCCTTCAGCTGATGGGCGCCAGTGCTGAGAATCATTTTAGTTTAATATTTACAGAAGCTATTAGACCAGGAGGAACAATTCCCAAAGTTGCATACATCACTGTCAGAGACATCCCTCCTCCCCCTCCAGATTGCTTTTGAAAGATTACGAGTCATAACTGCCTTGTAGAAACTTCTATGGGGAAACCGCACACATGACAAATATATGTACACATATTTAAAAACAATATAAAAATTCTTTGGCTTAGGAACTCCACAAGTCCAGCCTGAGGGATCTTGATAGTTTCTGTTGAGCAAAGCATTCAGTCTGTTCTGTGAAGGGAGTCAGGTCAATGTAGAACCCGGGCCTTTGTGGTCAGTCACCTCTGAAAGCAGATGGTACTAGAATACAATCCTTGGCTCTCTACTGATGACATTTGACTCAAGAACACTTTCAGAGATTGACAAGGACGGTGAGGTCTGAGCCCAGACCAAGGACCTGCAGAGCTGCCCTGGCCTGCAGGAAACAACCCAGTTTTCTCCCCCAATCCAGGGAAGGCATTTATTACATGACTTACTTTACAAACTCCTCAGGTCTACCAAGTTTATGGTAGAATTCAGGAGATCCCTGAGCTTTGAAGCGAAAAACACATTTTTATTTTCACAGACCTTAGTATTTCCTTACTTCTAAATGTAGGTGTATCAGTCAGCGAGGGCTGCTGTAAAAGTAGCATGGGCTGGGTGGCTTAAATATCAGAAATTTTCTGTCTCACAGTTCTGCAGGCTAGAAGTCTAAGATCAGGGTGAAGGTGGGGTTCATTCTCTACAAGGTGATGAGGGACGATCTGTGCCAGGCCTCTCCCCTGGCTTCTGGTGCTTTGCTGGCCATCTTCTAGAAGCATCACCCCAATCTCTAACTCCACGTTCACTTGACTTTCCCCCTGTGTGTCTGAGTCCGGATTTCCCCCTTTTTATTAAAACACCAATCAGATTGGTTTAGGGTCCACCCAAATGGCCTCATCTAAACTAATTACATCTGTAAAGACCCTGTTTCCAAATAAGGCGACGTTCTGCGATATCTCAAGATGTCTCAGCTATGTTCAGTCTAGTGCACCAATACATCTTGGAGACAAGCATTTTCATGTCAGAGATCAGCCTGCGGGGAATGTAACACATCACCAGCCAGACACGGGTGCATGGGCTCAGAATCTTAACACTAGTGAACACATTTCAGCACTTTCCAAGAAATGATAAGGTATTGATTCTCAGGCTTGCCTGGGGAGCTATTTAATCTCTCCTCAGTTACCATGTGCGCATCCATCCTCCATAATGAAGGAGACAGGGCACCTATTGGTTAGAAGAGTAGCTGGAGGGAGCTGGCAAGGTGGTGTGAATAAGAACTAATTGGATGTCATGTCAGCGAGGGTTTCACACTGAGCTTCGCACCTCTGAGGACCTACCTTGCCCAAACTTAGAAGCCTTCTGAGTCAGCCGGAGTTCTGAGCTTAGCAGTCAGGACCAAACATGAAAAATGACCCCAGGGGACTTAGACGTGACAAGAAACTGACCTGGAATGAGCTGTCTTTTTCAGTGATCCCTAAAGATTTTGCTTTCACCTCCATTTTGCTACTCAAACTGGAAAGCAGGCTGCCAACGATTTCCCCTTTCAGATTGTTAACTGAATCAGGACAGGCAGCTGGACTCACGGTCTTGCTGTTGCGAGTCGAGAAAGGCACCCCCTCCCTTCTGTGACGAAGGCCGGCAGCAACTCAGAGTCAAATGAAATGCTTTTATGGATTGTCAATATTTAAACACCTTGCCAGTACCTTAGGGCTTTGGATCTCAGCTGTCATCTATTACAGGCCTCATTACACAAAACATTAACTGCTGTATCATCTCATTTTCTCCACCGAAGCTCCCTGGCAAGACTTTCTCCAGGCATGGGAGTGGTTTTCTGGGGAGAGCTTGGTTTTGGTGTATGGGTCCTGCTTTTTGTTAGAAGGAGTCGTTCTCCATAGGGAAAAGCCACACTAGGTCAGCCCCACCACTGGGTGTCTGGGAACGCTGAGTACATCGTGTTGGGTGGCCCCAGCTGTCCACTCAGCCTGACTCTTTCCCACCCAGCCAAGAGGCAAGAAGCTCATCAGCTTGGTGGTTGTGTGGCCAGCAGGCTTGGGCAGCCAGGCAGATGGCCACTGAGCCTCTCGCTCTTCTGCTTCCTCATTTTAACCCCCTCAAACTCTACTGAATAGCCCCATGGCTGCCCTAACGTCCACTTGCAGAACTGAACAGCAGCTAATGAAATTAGCATCGGGCTCAAACACAGATTCCCTCTTTCTTCTGGAGAAGGGAGGGCCAGTGCGTGTGGGCCCAAGGACATCACATTAGGCCCCTGGGGACGGCCTTGCCCAGGATTCATTTCTCTGGCTGGGCGTACGTTTCCTCTAGATCGGTGTTGCAAAGCTCCCTGGAAGGCAGTAGAAACTGTGCAGTGGGCATATGCAGATGATTTATTTACACAAATTATCCCAAGGCATTTTACTGTGTAGATCACGAAGCCTAATTTACATATTTACACAATAGACTAGAATGGCACTAAAGGAACTATAAATATATTTTCCTCTCCAAAGCAGCCATGAAATACATATTTAGGATGTATCCAGTGCAAGCAGACATTGTATTGCTTTTTTCACAAGTCATGTATTTAGCCTGGAGATGAGAGCTGGTTAGACTGGGCACAGGCCCCTGCCCCTGCCAGGATGCTGCTCCCTCTTCTTGTAGTGCTGCTGGGAGCCTCCCAGGCCCCTCCCCATTCATTTTGTTCATTTTGGGGCTTTGGCCATGGGAGTTTTCAATTGAACAAAGATGAAAATCAGTATTTTTCCAAATCAGTATTTTTCTGTTTAAAATCCACAGAAGTCCCCAAGTCAGCAAATTCAGCAGGAGGGCTGCAGCTGCAGCGCCAACTCGGGCCCTGCCCTGCCACTCGCTTCTTGTCTCTCTCCTAACCACAGTTGTTGACAGCCTGTCAGTTTTGCATCCCGTCTCTTTCTGGGGTCAGTGCCCATCACAGGCATCCTTTGCATTTAGACACTCTTCTCCTTTTCTCTCCTGTATTAAGCAAGGATCAGATAAAGGGTAATTTTTTATCACATACAGTTGTGTTTAAGCCCCGCCTGTTTCAGTTACATTTCTAACCCAGATTGACCATTTATACAAAGAGAGATGGCAGTGTTGAAGAAACAGACAACTGACAGGAGTCCGTTTGCTCAGCGCTGCAGGCTGACAGTCAAGTTGTTGGTTGTGTGAGTTAGTGGAACCAGAAATCTCAGGCTGTGAATGACAGTTTCATTTGGCATGGAGACCCTGTTTAACTGTCCATGAAATCAGACTTTTGTACTGGCGTGGCATCTGCCCTAATACCTGCAGCACACAGTCGGGTCTGGGTGTTCGGGGATAGATTAAGCAATGAACCCTCAGATGTGCCTGAGCTGGGTTCCCTCTAAATTCCAAAAGGAGGTGATTGTGTTTCCAGGTTTATTAGGACACTGTCTGGAACAGATGTGCCTCCTCCCACGTGGGTGGGGGAGATGCTAGCACAGTTAAAACTGACTCATTTTGTTTGCTAGGAGTAAGTACTGTACAACATCATAACCTACTTTAACGGAAAAGGTTTCTTTCTTCAGTGATCTTCAATATTAGCCACTCCCCCACCTTTTTCTGAGTAGACAAATAATGCAATAAAGACAGCAAAGACAAAGAGATTGTATCCTTTAAAGGAAAACTATCTCTCCTGAGGCTGAGAGGATTTTAGGCATGTGATCAGAGTGTGGTAACAAATAGGAATAGTTTACAAAGTTTATCCCTCAGCAGGTTCCCTGCCTGCGTCCTGTGCAGTGGCATTTTCCCAACAATTTTTCAGTAAGGAGAGTGCGCAAGGACAGTAGGGGCCCAGCAGACATGTGACTGGGTTCACTCTGTTGCCACATACCCCTGTCCCCACAGACATCAAGACCAGGAAGCCTGAGAGCTGACATTGACCCCCAGGAAGTTCAAAGCCCTGGCCCCAACAGGGACAGTCATCAGTCATCCGGGCACCTGCTGTCTGGCATAAGGCATTAAAGGATATCTCAGGGCAATCATGGGTTTTTCCAGGATGGCCACCAGGAACTCCTTTGGGGTAAGGGAATGCTAGCTTGGTGTCTGCTCAGTTTCCCAGCAGTGAGCCTTACCTGAGGTCCGAGAGCTGGCTGAAACAAAGGCTCAGAGCTGCCTTTAAAAAATACAAAGGCCACTCTCCTCTCAAGTGTTGATTGAGATGGAAACCCAGGCGCTAGGGATTATCCTGGCGCGTGGAAATCAGCTGCAAAAATCTCATTATGGTTAATAGTTCTGTAATGTTATTTTTCCCCCCTAATTTGTAGAGATACTTTTCTCCATCATTGATTTATTGAGATATTTAACAGCATAATACAAATGAGAAAAACAATCCACAGTGGAGCAACAGAGTGGACGCTTTAACAGCTGCCAGCTTTTTCCTACCCACTCATGACCATGATATAAATGTTAGTGTGGATAAATAGCCCAGTGAATTGTAAGTGAGATCTAAAATGCTGAATGTGCTGATTTTAGAAAGGGAGAATTAGGCAGAATAAAAATGTGAACATTTTCTTCTGTTAATTCAGAAGGAAATTCTCTTGGTATGATCCCCACCCCCACCTCAACACTTTTCAATGTAAATGAATTGCTAAATAAATCGTTTTATGTTGAGATTCTGTATCAATATTTTAAAATGTTTTTATGAAAAATGCACACATTCCTGGAGCTATGACAGAGCTCTTAAAATAAAATGTGGCCTTTAGGTGATGGTAAAAGAAGGGAAATAATTTTTTCCTTAGGTAGTAGCAAAGCATTACAGAAACATTAATGCAAAAGACATTCCGAAAACCCACTCCAGAAGCATAGAAACTACTCAGAATGTCAGAAAGTAACTTCCACACTCTTGGTCCCTTAATTTCAATGGTTTTAAGCAGCATCCAGTTTGAGTCTGATTTTTTTTTTCTTTAGTATCTTTTACAGCATAAAATAGTCTATCTTTTTAGATGAAAAATATCATACAATTCACTCAACATTTAAAGCCTCTATAACATTGACTTTCTTATAGTAAGCACTAAAAAAAGTGCTGCTGGTGGTGGTTATTTACTAACAGTCTGCTTATACAAGGCCTTGAGAAATGCTACAGGGATACAAAGGTGGAGAAGATGGATCACCTGAACATATTTATTGAACTCTTGAAAAGTTCAAGAGCCCAGGTGGTACAAATAGACCGGTAAATGTGACAAGGTTCCGAGAGCCCATTGGTAGAAGTGGTAGAAGCGACCATCTCTTCTTGGAGGCAGGACTGGGACTGAGGTCAAAAAAGATGAGTCTGAAAGGGTGAAAAGATCTTGCTGATTTTCTTCCACCCCTTGCCCCTAGACCATGAATAGCCCGTGAAGGAATAGAAATTTCTTCTGATTCCCTGATGGTTGGAACTTGACCAAAGAGTGAGTCCTTAGTGTTTGTGGAATAAATGCATGGAGGAGGAGCCGAGTGGAGGAGGAAGGCTCCACGGGGTTCCCAAGGCTGAGGTTGCTGCATGCAGAGAAAATGCACCCTCTTTGCCTATTATTCCCTGATCATTCTTATGCAAAGCCAGAATATAAATCACATATAACAATCATTTCATTTGTGAACCTCAACATTTCAGAAGGAAAAGAGGCTTAAGTTATGGCTTGCCATTTTGACATTATTAGTGATAATGGATATCTTGGTGAGAAGTGACTATAAATGTGGATATTTAGAAATAAATAGTCATTGTTCTACCTTTCTGCTGTACAGAGATTTGTACCTTTAAAATCTCATTCACATCCAGTCCTTCATTAACCTGTGACTCTAAGAACTTAATAGGTGCAAACTCTTAAATCCTATGCAAATATAGACTTGAACACTAGCAATTTTCCTTCTGTTTACTGTGGGGCTAATCCACTTGAGCATATCTGGTGTTTCAACGTGTGTGATAAGTTGGCTTCCAGATAACCCTTAGCTCCCCATAAAGCTGTCAACACGCTGCATTCATATTCAGATGTGTTTTTTTCTCTCCAGATCTCCTGCTCTTTTTAAAAGATCACATACCTAAACCTATAAAAGAAATTATAATTCATGAAGGATTGCTGCTGCAAATGAACATTTTGGGCTCTAAACCCATTTTTCACCAACCTATAGCCTTAGTGGTTAGATTTACATTTTATTTACACTCTTGTAGTATTGGGTATACTATGTGTGTGCCACTGTCCTATGCACTTTGTAAATATTAACTCATTTAGTCCTGGCATCTATAATGCAGATTCTTTTTTTGTGACCATTCTATAAACAAGGCACAGAGAGGCTAAGTACTCTGCCTGAGGTCACACAGCTAATGCGCACCAAGGCTGTCTCACCTGACTTTCTAATGGAAAATATTGCTGTTGGTTGTTGCCCCTACATCCATTTGCTTCTTCCTTTCTCTTCCTTCCCTCTCTCTTCTTCCTTTCTCTTGCTTCCCAATTTTCTTCTGGCTTTAAGTTCAATTTTTTGCTGTTTTCCTGTATGGCAGGGTTTTAAAATATTTGATTTTTTTTGTGGTAAAATATAACTATCATAAAATCTCCCACCTTAGCCTTTCTTTAGTGGACAGTTTGAGAGCACAAGGGCCTTCACATCATCGTGCATCATCTTCATTTCCATCCACAGAACCTCTTCATCTTCCGAAAGTGTCCCTGTTGAATACTAACTCCCCACTCCACTCCCAGCTCCTAAGAATGCCCCCTTCTACTTTCTGTCTCTACGACAGAAACCCCTCTAGCTCCTCATAAAAGCTCAACCAAACAGGAGATGTCCTTCTGTGTCTGGCTTTTTTCACTTAGTTAAAATGGCCCCCAGTTCCCTCCATGCTATACATATGTCAGAACCCCCTTCCTTGTCATGACTGACGAATATTCCAGCTACAGATAACCACACTTTGTTTCTCCATTCATCCTTGGATGGACTCTTGAGTGGCTTCCACCTTTTGACTGCTGTGAATAATTCTCTGTGAACAGGGATGTGTAAGTTTCTGTTCAAAATTCAATGTTTTTTTAAATTCATACTTGTTTTTGGTAGCAGATGAGCATAGATTTAAAAACAAGATGGTCTTAGGGCAGGTTTGATGCTGCAGCCTCCAAAGGACACTCAAAGTCAAGGGCAACCCTTTGGAGTTCGGTTTGAGAGTTGAAAGCAGGATCCTTGGTCTGAGGGAAAGGCCCTGTCAGGGGTGTCTGGGAGCATGTGAGATTCCCACTGCGCTCCCCGTCTCCATGCCAGCTGCATGAGAGAGGCCCCAGTTGTGGACGATTTTAAAAGTGGCGCTGATTTTAAAAGTGACGATTTTAAAAGTGGCGCAGCTACCGCCTGAGGCTATGTGGAGGTTGAGCCGAATCTCCACAAAGCTGGCTGCTGGCAGTGAAAGAAACTGTCCTTTAACATTGTCTCTCTGACCCGCCAGCTGAATTGCATTTCCAATTAGAATGCAGGTGGGCCCAGCATTCAGAACCATGGCTGGCATGTGCAGGGGACCAGCTCTGACTAGGAGGATCCTGGGAGAGAGATACGGGGGTGTGGGGAGGTGGGATGGGTGCATACGTCAGCAACAGCAGCAAGCCAGAAGGGCCTAAAGAATCCTAAGCCAAACACACCATCAAGTCAGAAACCAGAGTGGAAGGCCTGGGGGGCCATGGGACTGTGATAGGAGCAAGGAGATGGTTTGGGAAATACCGCTGGCCAGAAAGCAGCTTTGGCAACATCTGTTCCCGAGTGAAAAGACAAGTCTCCCTCCCTGTCCCCCCAGCCCTGTGCAGCTCACCACCTCAGCTGCTGGTGCCACCAGTCTTGGGCTGGGGAGCTGTGAGCTGACCGATGCAAGGGGCTCGAATTCAAGAGTAAGGCCCCTCTGACCTCTCTTTCCCTGCTTCCTCCTGCAGATGAAGGTCTGTGGGACATGTTCGTGAAGGACATTCCCCGGAGTGCTACATCCTACACCCTCAGTCTGGATAAGCTCCGGCAAGGAGTGACTTACGAGTTCCGGGTGGTGGCTGTGAATGAGGTGGGCTTTGGGGAGCCCAGCAGCCCCTCCACAGCTGTGTCAGGTAGGGAGCCTTCGGGGGAAACTCTGGAGAGGGGCTCCTGCTTCTGAGGGAAGGATGGTGTGGAATAATCACAAAGAGGCCAAGCACTGTCCTCTGGCAGACTCTGACAGTCCAGGGCCCTGCTGGAGAAGACGGTGGGGATCCCAGCACCCAATGAGCCAACCACATCCCCAGCCAGGCCCCTGAAGAGCCCAGATCCAGAAGACTGTCGTCACACTGTTCTCAAGCAATTCTTCATTTTTTCCCTCATTTTTTCTTAATCAGAGACATGTGCAAGAGTCAGGACAGTCAGCCTGAGCTAAGCAGTGTCCCCTCTGTGTGCAAGTATTCCAGAGCCCAGGCGTCCAGCCCCTCCTGTTAGCTGAGACATCCTCACCAGGGAACCATTTGCAATTTTTGAAAAGCAAAATCTCCCCAGCAGCCCCTCAGGGCAGTGCTAGTGCGAGACACCAGGTTGTGTCTGACAGCCCCCCCCCCCCACCACCTCCCCTCTCCCCCCTGGAAGCTGAGGGCTGGGAGGACTGTGCCACCCAGCCCAGGGCTGCGAGGACTGGAGCAGCTGATAAAGAAGAACAGGCCTCTTCCCCTGTAGTGACAACAGACTGATGTAACAGGGGTGTAACAGACGGGGAGAGAGTGACGGCCTGGGAATCAGGAAGGGCTTCTCAGAGGAGGGAGGTGGTCTGGGTCTTGAAGGCTTTGGGGGATGTCATCACAGGGGAAGGGATAATGGATAATGCCTCATGATAATGGAGGCAGAGGGGTTACCAGAGACAAGTGCTGGTTACAGCCCAGGAGGGTCAGGCAGGTGGGGGAAGGTGGAAAGGCTGGTGACTTGGCCAGATCAGCCAGACTCACTCCCTAGAGAGTGCAGTGAGAAATGGGTCTCACCCCTGGCTGCACTTAGGAAAACTCCCTCCATCCCACGCCCCCCAGTGATTGCATCTATTAGGGCAGGAGTCTGGGAGGAGTGACTATTTTTAACACCACTGTGATTCTAAGGTGCAGCCAAGGTTGGGAGTCAGGGCTCTAGAGAGGCTTAGGGTCGGAAGGCAGGGTGACAGTGTGAAGCTGTTTGAGAGAGGGGGCTGGTGCCTGAAAACAGTGGCAGCGTTTAGGCCAGAAACCAAGAGACATGGACCAGGAAAGTGTCAGCTTCACTATTGCTCTTCCTTATAAGCCAGAAAAGTACATTTCTCTTCCCCTGAATTTCAGTTTGTTGAAGCTACTGAATATATTTGTTTGCACTGAAAACATCCCTCACCCTTTCTTTGCATGAGCTTGGAGAAAGGGAGGCCGCTGTGGGGGCAGGACCCTAAGCCCTGTAACTCCTGGTAGCTCAGTGAGAGGCTTCAGGAGAGGCCCAACGCCCCACCAGCACGTTTGTGAAATAAGATCTAGCAAAAACAAAATTTTCTCATTTCCTTCATTTTTATTATGAAAAATGTAAACATACCCAGGGTAGAGATTAGAATAAAGAAACCAAGCACCCATCACCCCAATTCAGCGACCCAAGATTTGCCTCACTTGGCTCATCTATGAAAAATCGATATAAAGCAATTCCAAATGCACTGAGCTTTTAATTCACATACAGGTAGCTGATGACAAAGGCTGGTTCCTACGTGAAAATACAGCTGCTTCCCCCCTCCAGTCCAGGGGCCTGTGGCTTGACATTTCTCTGAAATCCATTGCATCCAAATGCTGGCCCTGGCTGCCAGCTGAATTGTAGTCAGCCTCTGTCACCCTCCATGAAGCCAGCAAATCTGGGGGGTGTCCTGGCCTGAGGTGGGATACATGCAGGATAGCCAAGGTCTTTCCCTGCTGATTGTGGCCACTTCCATGGGGTGGGGTGGGGATTTGTTGGCCTCGTTAGAAGGAGAGTTTAATGCATAGCCTGAAACCCAGCCTTTAATTTTTGGATTCAAAATGCTGTCATCTCCTCAGAAATCCTGTGCTGTCACATTATCTAAAGCAAACTCCCCTCTTTTTTCCCCAGTGTGCACATATTTTGCATCTGTGCAATGAGCTATATCACATAAGGTCGACGTGTTTTATGTGGGTTTTCTCCCCTGGGAAGCCACTGGGCTTCACCTGTAACAGGCTTCCTGTTCTGTCCTGGGCTTCCGCATCTGGGAACCATTTACCTGCAGGGAGGCAGAAGGAAGGCTCTGAGTGGGACCCCAGGGCCATACAACACCTTCAAAAAAAACAGTTTCCCACTTTGCAGTTCCTAGTAGACAGAATAAACATGAGGAAAAAGAGTATCCCTTTTTAAAGCAACTTTTAAATGAAACCTTTTCCATTTGTTTCTTAAAAACTTATCCAAAGGTGGGGCCAATTGTTCAGGTCACTTCTGCTGGAGGCGTGAAATAAATAAGACATGCCCTGGTGGAGGGGGCACCAGATAGACAGACAGCCACCCAGTGAGTGTTACCAGAGGGGCCCACTTGGTGTGGGCGGCCCAGAGCTCAGCAGGACAGGACCGTGGGGATCCCTCAGGCTTAGACAATACCCTGATGGGGCGTCACCGAAGGATCTTAGGAGGAGGCAACTTATTTCCATCTCGGAAAGATCTCTTCTCCCTTGCCGCCATATACAGGATGGATTTGAGCAAGACAGGAAGAAGGGGAAGAGCTGGGAAATGGTTGCAGTGGGATAAGGGGCAAGGAGCCCCAGCAGGCAGTGGTGAGGTGGTGATGGGAGGGCCAGGGGCCCTGGGGAGCTGTCTGGGAGGGGTGCCAGCTCGTGGCGAGGTTAGGCCGTCCAGGCGCTCTTGGTCCTTCCTCCTTTCAACATCAGCGAGCAGATGAAATTTGGAGATGTAAGTGTGAAAGGTAGTTTTGACGGGCAAGGTCGGAGCAGACTCCGGGTGGAGAGGTCTGTGGGGAAGGGACAGCATATTGATCCTACTTCCTCAGAGAAGGTGGAAATGTGCTCAGGCTTAATTCCTGCAGCTGCTGAGGAGCCACCGTGCTCCCCGCTCCAGCCCTGTCCCCGACGATGGTCAATTAGCCGCAGTCTCCCAGTCCAGACAGGGGCTTCATCTCCGCTGCAGCTGCGGAATATGCCTCTTAGCCTTCCTCCTGACTCACCCCCGAAACCCCACTCCTGGGTTCAGGGCCAGGTGGCATTTCTGTCAACTTGTGTCAGTTGTCTCTGCTTTCTGTCTGCCCCACAGCTCAAGTGGAAACCCCCTTCTACGAGGAATGGTGGTTCCTCCTGGTGCTGGCTCTGTCCAGCCTGATCCTCCTCCTGCTGGCGGTGTTTGCCCTGGTCTTGCACGGGCAGAATAAGAGGTACAAGAACTGCGGCACAGGTGGGCATTTTCTCATGTGCACACGAGCCCTGCACATGTGCAAACTGAAGTGTTCACTTGGACTGTCTCTCCTAGATCTGTCATGACAGCGGCCACTTTTCCCTTTCATTGCCTGTGGGTGGAAAAATAGATGCTCCAGATCTCCTTGTGGAGACAGTAAACCTCCCGAAAAAGCCAGAGCTCTAGGCCCGGCTGACCCAGATTCCAGCCCTGGCCCTGACCTCAATACATTGGCCAGGTGTCATGGAAATGTCATTTGGTCTCTCTGAATCTGTTTCCTCATCTGCACCTCACCTTGCGCTAAGAAAGTGGTCTTTTTGAATTTGATTAGAAAGTATAAAGTATCAGGCAGATGAAACACTGTGCTATTCAGTGTTATGTAAACAGTGAAATAGAACACATCTCAGAAATGTTGCTGTGACTCATGGAATGTTCCAGAAACGTGTCTTAAGTTTGTATGTTGCCTCACATTCTTCATTCCAACTCTGACCCTCTGAGGTCTAGTTCAGCCTTGTATTCTCAGCACAAACTCCCTGCATACAGTAGGTGCTCAATAAATGTTGCTGACTGAATTGCCATCAGAGAAATGGGCAAACAACCATCCAGTGTGACTCCCTGTATAGGAAGGTCAGGAACTGATATTTCCAGAAGATAGAATAGCAATTACCTCCTGGCAAAGAAGTACAAACAGAGAAGGCTCATGAGGGAGCAGTATGGAGTGCCGGAGTGTTCTCTACCTCTGTGCCCACAGTGGTTTCATACGTAATGAGATGACATCACTCCAGAAGCTTAAAATGAGTACACTTTAGGCATTTTATTGTCCTTAATTTTTAAAAACTCCTCATAATCACCAGTGAGATACCATCTCTGTATAACCAGAGCATACTTGGGCTCTAGACCTTGGTCTCCCTTCTACCCCCTGTACAGCATCCACATACCCAGTAGCCATGCTAACAGGAAGGGCCCTTTATGAGCCCAGCTCCACCCCTGCAGCTTCTCCCCTCAGCTCTCTGTCCTTTCTTCTTAAAAAGGTGGACCCTGATGAGTCCTCGCTAACCAAGTAGCCACTGCATGAACCCACTGGGCCCCCCACCCCAGCCATCAGCACTATCAGTCCCTCTGCTGAAAGGGTTAATAAAACCAGGCACCTAAAGCCCCTGCCATTTGCCTTTGTAATGTTAAGCAATTCATCCCTCAAAGAAAGGATTTATTTTTTTCTGTATAAATTCACTTCTAACAAGTGTTCCTAAATCAGATTTTATTCCTATGGGATTTACAATGTATGAATGGCATGTCATTTTACTGAGTTAATGCTATTACAGAATCCTGTCTGGCACATAGAAAATCTCCCTGCTTTTCACTCTCCTTCTCCATCTGGAAAACAGACCTGAAAAGACAGACCTGACCTGCAGCTTCTGATACTCCGCCTCACCCTGGAGTATTAATTTAACATCATAATTGAAGCCTAGATAAAAAATACTTGTCTACCAGAATGTCTGCTTTCCTGCCCAGGAGACATGCAGAACTTAAACCTCTGCTATTACAGCATCACTCTTCCCTGCCCCTCTTGTCCTCCCTTCTACTGCCATCCTCCCCGGATTTCCTCTCTGATATTGGTTTCCACCTGCTCACCTCACATCAACCCAAATCCTGCTCGTGAGCAGCTCCATCTTTCATCGCCACTCTCTGGGCTCCGTTGGCTTTCCTGTTGCACACAAAGAGAGCATTGTGCCAGAATGCATGCTAGGTCCCCAGCAACGAGAAGCTCCTGGGGGCTTGGGGGTGGCAGTGGAGTTAGCACCTACGTGTGTGCATGGCTCTGTCCTGCAGGGTGGCGGTGGGTGGTCAGGTCCAGGCCTCACAGAGCGTATGGTCCAGTAGGAGAGACAGAAAGCAGACCGCAAGAAACAAGCGCATATGTCAGCAAGAAAAACACAGCCTTGGGGATGAGCACTGTGGGATAACAGTCGGGGTATGGGACCCTGGAGATGGAGGCGGGAGAAGGGGAAGCTGCTCTTTCAGGTCATCGGGAAAGTTCTCTCTGGTCTCATGATATTTGACCATGATCTGAAAGAAGGGGGTGAGTAAATCAGCAGCATTTCTGGGGACAGGGCTCCCAGGGTGGTGAGGGGCCAAAGGGGTGGGGGTGGCCAGCCCTAGCATGCGATAGTGCAAGGCACTTAAGCCAGGAGAGATGGGATGCCACTGGAAACAGCTAAGGTCCTTTGGTTTCTTAAAAGTTTGTCATTCATTTGATCTGCTAATGTATTTAAAAAGTGTTTTGATGTGTACTTATAAACGTACCCTTTCGAAGTGGTTTTCAGTTTGTTCACAGACATGTGCCGCCATGAGCCATGGTCGACTTTAGAACATTTTCACCATCTGAAGAAGAAACCCCATTCCCTCTGCTTCCAGCCCCCTATAAATGCATTTTGTGATATGATTGTGAGGTGTTTTTTATTTTGAAAATTACTAAACCTTAATTTCCCTGATATAAAGCTTATCTATAAAGCTTATATATCTTGAGTACTTTATTGTAACATACTGATAAGAATATCAGTATTTTGGTGTCAGGCAAAGTAAACCCCAAATGCTACTCTTGCCATGCTGCTCCATCATTGTCATCAGTCCAAAGCTTTTCTCCCCAACTCTGGCTTTCTTGTAAGCTACAGCAGGCCTGCACAACCTGCGTTTCACTCAGCAGGCATCGGTAGCACTACAGGCTGGGCGCCCTGGCCCATCACTAAACACCTGTGTGCATTCTCCCGGCTCCGCCTCAGGGAAGAGCATCTCCAACATGGAGGAGTCCGTGACACTGGATAATGGAGGATTCGCTGCCTTAGAACTCAACAGCCGCCACCTCAATGTCAAGAACACCTTCTCAAAAAAGAACGGGACCAGGTAGGGACATGGCAGCCATAACCCCAAGAGCTGACCCACTTCTGCCCAAGGACCTAAGCCGGCCAGATCCCACCAGATCCCAGCAGAGGCCATGTTGAATCCAAGAGGCAAGATTGGTAGGGGGTTAAGGGTATTTTAAATCCACTTGTAGAGCCAGCAGAAGAGGGCACTCTCATGTGTAGGGGGAAGTGACCCAGGCTGGCCCCTCTGTCAGCTGGCCGGGCCCCTCAGAGTAGGGGACACCCTCACATAGGTGTCACATGAAGCTGCAGCAGTTACCAGGACAGTGTCAGAGGTGGTGATCTCCTCCCATTCAGGTGTGATGGGGGCCAGGGGGAGGGGAAGGGATCTTGCCCAGAGCTACCCTGAAGGACACATGTCCTCACCCTAGGTCCCCACCACGGCCGAGCCCTGGCGGGCTGCACTACTCAGACGAGGACATCCACCACAAGTACAACGGCACAGCACTGAGTGAAAGTGGGAATCTCAAGGAGAAGTCGGTGGATGCTTCAGAATCGGAGGTCAGTACTAAAGCAAACTCCCTTTGGGTGTGGCCGCCACTCCCTTCTGCGTAGGAAACCCTCTGCTTTCTCAAGGTGCCACACGCTGGGTCTCGGTTTGAGCCCCACAACAGCCACATGAGGCAGGCAGCAGAGCCAAAGACAAACAGCTCTATTTCCCAGACCAGAAAAGAACAAAAAAGCCCCACTCAGACCCATTGCCCCTAGGCCAAGGCACAGCCCAGCGCAGGACAGATGCGCAGGCCTGCACTCCACTTCCCACAAGTCTCATTCTCCAGTCCACAGAGCCGGAGGAGGAACTAGACCGAGCTTGTCTGGGAAAGGCAGGCTCGGAACCAGTGTGAAGCTGACTGAACTCCCAGCAGCTCCTGCGCGCACAGGGGCATGTCCATGCACTTCCTCTCACCTAGTCCTAGAGCTCCCGGGGCCAGCAAGCTCTTCCATCATCCACTCAGCCCAGTAGACTTCTGATCTAGAAACCTACTTGCTTTCCATTTTGCTTTCAGAAATAAATCTAGTGTTTTCTGGTGGTGACCGGAGAACCCATGGTCTCTAGAGCCCAGCTGAGGTGGCAGACAGCCTGAGCCAGTGAGAGTGGTAGAAACTAGGGCGCCTTCCCCTCCCCAAATCTGCTCCCCCTCCTGCCAGCCTCACCATTCCTGCCCAGAGTACTTTCTGTTCTTGCTTCCGTGCCCTGAAGAGGAGAACTTACCTCCCGCTGAAGACGCCTCCCTGTCCTCACTGAGCAGTTACCTGGAGCGATCGCCCCCTCAAGGGAGAGTCAGCCTCAAACACAACCCCAGAGCCCAGGGAGGGGCCTTCCTCACGAGTGCCCTGTCTCTGTGTCACATGTACAAGCAAAACCGGCTGAAGCCACAATTAGAGATGGTTCCCTATCAGCCCTAACCTTTGATTTCAGATATGCGAAATCTCAGAGGGACGAAAATCACCAAGTCATTTGCTGGGCACGTAGGCCCGCCCCACCTCTTGGCATTCATACTCTAAATCAATATTTAATCTAAAAAAAGTCTCACCTTCATTTTGACCTGAATTCAGGCCTTATTGAGCCCTGAGGCTCCACAGAATGGCTTCTTTTAAATTGTGCCTTGTATATGAACTCCAGGTGAGACTGGACAGCAGGTGGGTGCCGTTTGACACTGCTCTGCTCTGCTTGGAGTGCTCTGTTTACAGAGGCCACTGGGTCCCCCTTCTGTGCCATAGCCTTGGGCACAGGGAAACAGCAAGCAGCCCTGCAGATGTTCGGAAAGGTACATTTGTCTAAAATTGAGGGGTTATCAAGTGGACGCCTGCAAAACTGACCTGCCTTTTTGTGATAAGGAAACAGCAGCCTTGTTCTAGCTGCTTGTACCAAAAGCAGCATGCCAGGAAGGGGCGGGACTGCCTTCCAGCCAACTCCATGTCAGCAATTAGAGACATGTTTGCAAGACACCTACCTACTGTCTGTCCTTAATTCCTGGGCCTGCTGCTCTTTAGAATCTGCAGGCGTCAGGGATGATGCTTGCAGTGAATGTGCATTAGCTCTGCATGGGGAGTTGCTAGCTGAGCGCCTAGTGTGGGCCCAGTGCACACCTGGAGTGCTCACACCCGCCCCACGAGGCAGGCCTCATTGAGACAGAAGAGTAAAGCTGATGTGAGTGTCCCTCTCCACAGCCATCTCCTCCAAACCAAAGATGTGTGGTCAGTGACCATTCCTAGGGAATGGTCCGGGCTATTCTGGAAGCATCTGTCTGTTTCTCTTCTCATATATGCAGGGAGTTTGTAGGGTAGTATCCAGCTGACTTGTATGGAGAATGATTAAATGCATGGAGGTACTGAGCTAGGTTTGATGTGCATGTATATACATACAGGGAGGAGGTGACAGGGCAGGTAGAAGAAGAGTGGAATATGGAGACCACACTCAATCTGCAAGGAGATTTTTAGGATCTCTTATGACAGATGAGAAAGCCAAAGCTTAAAGAGATTTTGTAATGTCTTCCCCAGACACACCCTAGTGGTGTGAACTGAGAGGCAGATCCACTAGCAGTGGAACCAAGTCTTGGTGGCATAAGGATGTGTAGTGGAGGGCGCAGGGCACCTGCCTCACCCCCTTGGCTAGCCCTGGAGAAAGGGGTTACTTTTATAACTCCCACAGATGCCCCTCAAAGTTGCTACTACATTTGGGTGAAGGAGTCAGCAGGAAACTGGTGAAAGGCGTAGACACTCTCCACTCTGTGCAGAACTCCACCGAGGATCTGGGATCCATGCCCGCTCTGAAGCCTCTGATAGGCACCTCCAGCTAAACCCTGGGGAGTCCAGGGTGAGAACTCTTGTGCCTCTCTGCAGCCTGGGTCCTCAGGTGGTAAAGTGAGGCCTGTCTTTTATCCAGAGTTCTTTGCTCTGATACCTGGCAAGATCCCAACTTTGAAGCTTATGAATCTGGGAGATTTGCAGGCACTGATTATTCACAGGGTCCCAACAGCAGGACCTGGGTGACCTTCATTTTCTTGGCAGTGGCAGCTCAAATGGGAAAGTTTACTTTAAGCTACATTTTTAAACTGCTAGATTGAGATATAAATCACCACATAAGTCACCCATTTGACAGAATAGTTTTTAGGAGTATGTTTTTAATTTCCTCATATTTGTGATTTTACCAAATTTTCTTCTGTTACTGACTTCTAATTTTATTCCATTATAGGCAAAGAACATACCTTGTATGTTTTCAAATCCTTTTAAATTTTTTGAGTCTTGTTTTATGGCCTGACATATGGTCTGTGCTGGAAGACTGCTCCATGTGTACTTGACAAGAAGGTGTGAGTCTGCCGTTGTGTTCCGAATGTGTCAGTTAGTCCTAGTTGATTTATGGTGCTGTTTATCAAGTCTTCTATGCTTTGGGCCTTCTGCCATCTGTTAATGTATTGAAGTCTCCAACTACTGTTGTTGAATTGTCTATTTCTCTCTTCCATTCTGTCTGTTTAAAATTCTTGTCTTTCAGGCCTCTGTCTTTAGGTCCATATATGTTTATAACTGTTATATCTTTTTGATGGATTGATTCTTTTATGACCCTCTTTGCCTCTAGTCACAATTTTTCTCTTAAATTCTGTTTTGTCGGGTATCAGTATAATCACTCTGATTCTCTGTTACTACTTAAATGGTCGATCATTTCCATCCTTTTACTTTCAGCTGGATTCGAGTCCAAAGTGCCCCCTTATAGAGTGTAAAGTTGGTTTGTGTTATTCATTCTGCCAATATCTACCTTTTGACTGGATTATTTAATTCATTCACATGTAATTACTGCTAAGTAGAGTCTACTTTTGCCATTTTGTCATTTGCCTTCTATATGTCTCATCTTTATTCCTTTGTTTTCCATTATTGTCTTGTTTTTTAAGTGACTATTTTCTAATGTACCATTTTAATTCTCTTAGTTTTGTTTATACTATATTTTTCAACTGTTTTGTAAGTGATTGCTCTAGTGTCAGTATTTACTACTGATTTAGACTAAATTTCTGTGGCATGTAGAAAAGGTATCCATATCTTTCTCTGTTCCCTCCTCCCTTCTTGTATGCTGTTACACACATTATGTTCCTATACATTCAAATTCAAGAATATATTTTCATAGTTATTACTTTATAAAAATTTATGTCTTTCAAAAAAATTGAGAGAAGAAAGGAGAGCAAGTATATGTTTAGAATCTCTCATCTTAGCCTTCTTCTTTACTATTCCTGGTCTTCCTCATTTCTTCCTTTGGATCCAGGTTATTCGTACAAGTCTTCTCCTTGCTCAGCATCTCCTTTATGCAGTGTTAAATATGTTACATTTCTCTATGTCATAGAACCAACAATGCTATTAAATGCATATTTTTATGCAATTGCTTTTTCAATTAGAGAATAAATGTATCATTACATTTTCTTTTATAATTACTTAGCTTTTCATTTAAGTTAATATTTTTCAACTCCAAAACTTCTCCTTTGGTTATATTTCCATCATTTCTGTATCTTTATTGATATTCTCTACTTAGTGAGACATTGTCTTCATACTTTATTTAATTCATTAAGCATTGTTTCCTTTAGTTCTTTGAACATATTATAGTGACTGCTTTCAAAGTGTGAACCACGTTTGGCCCTCCTCAGAGGCTATCTGCTCTTCTGGGCAATGGTCACACTTTCCTGTTCATTTTTTTAAACAGGTAATTTTAGGTAATCTACTGCCACAACTCTGAACACTAAGATCCACAACCCTCTGGGGACTATTGCTATTGTTTGCTCATTTGCTAATTTACTTGTTTGGTAACTTGGCTAGACTACCTCCGGGAAGTGTGTCTCCTCGGCGTTGTGTGCACTCTGAGTTTGCTCCTCGAGGGGGCAGCCTTGAGCATGCAGGTGCCCTGATACCAGCGCTGCCTGTGGTTTCAGCCAGGCCCTGCTGGTCTCTTTTTCTTACCTCTCCACTAAGACTCTGCACGGTTTGCTATTATTGATATCACACCCAGCTGTTAGCCTCCACTACTTGCTGTTCTTATTAGTTTTGACAGTGCCCTGAAGTATAAAGTACTCCATAGTTTGATCCAATTAAAGTCCAGCCCTTTTGAATTCTGTTCCAACCCCAAGAGGGCTCTCCTTTGCTGTCTCACTCCCGGGTTCTCTCTGTTAAACTTCTAGCTAGTTTCTTGCTTTACTTGTTGATATCATGGAACTACCAGCTTCCCCTTACTAATTTCTTACCGATGAGGCCTCCATTGTTTTCAGTGATGCCCTTAGGCACTTCTTCCAAATAAACTCATTTCCCCTTAGGCAGAACTGGGGAGCTCTTTGTTCTTTATGGACTGTCTCTCCACCCCTAGTGGGTCCAGATGGTAGCCCCTGGACTTTTGGGCTTGCCACAGGGAGCTGCTTCCCTACAATGAGCTGCGGTGGGAAAGATCAAAGTGTGGCATTCTTGGCTCGCCCCACATGATGTAGACCATCCAACCTGTGAGGAATGAGGGTTAGGTGAGGGAAGAGAGCCCTGTATTCTTGGCCATATCTGTTTGAAAGAGACTTTTGCAACATATTCCTAGGGATGTGTATAAAAGCTTTCTGCCCCAGGTTAAACCAAATTCTTAGACTTGGAGCTTGGAGGAGAGGTAGTCCTGTCTTGTTGACCACCTCTGCCCAGGTAGAGCCGTCCCACTCAGCTGGCAGTGGGGGCGAGCTCATGGGTCAGAAGCCTCAGATGCTCACTGTTCTGAGTGATATTTAGATTTTCTGGAGTAAATCTTTCTCCATTTGCTCTGTGCTCATAACACCATTTCCAGAAGCTTTCAATGGCTGTTTATAAGATTATTGTTCCCAGTGAAATCATTGCTCCACTGGGGAGCAGATCAGAGAGCTCCTCCTTCCATTCTGGAAGCATCTTGCATTCCCCATTGATGATTCTGACATTCAGAGGACCTGTGAGGGATGAGTGTTTCTGACTCCCTGCCTTAACCCACCATTTACAGGAACAGAGTTAAGTTCCAGGTACACTTCATTTAATTGTGCCTCACTTCATCTCACTTTACAGATGCTCTGTTTTTTTACAAATTGAAGGTCTGTGGCAGCCTTGCGTGGGCAAATCTGTCGGCACCGTTTTTCCAACAGCTTTTTCGTGTCTCTGTGTCACCGAAAATTAAGGCATGTACCCTGTTTTGTTAGACATAATACTATTGCACATTTCATAGACTACAGCATAGTATAAGCATATCTTCTCTATGTGTGGGGAAACAAGAAGGTGACTTGCTTTACTGCAGTGTTCACACTATTGCCATGGTCTGGAGCCAAACCCACAATGTCTCTGAGGTGAGGCTCAGAGAACTGTCAATAAAGCCCTTAGAGAGATTGGCCAGGGCCACGGGGAGAACAAATCAAGGAGCTAGAAGCTCAGAAGCTGTAGCACCCACTTCAGTCAGGATTGTCTGTTAGTGACTTTGCACTGGGAATTAGATGTAAAGTGGCCATCCCCTACCAAAGACAGCTTCTAGAGTTAACTGCTGGTACACTGGGATGTCAGGGATACAGAGTAAAGTACATTCAATGTCCTGGGTCCAGTCCATGGTTTGACCCAGAGGCGATGCAGGAACGATAGAGAGAGGTTGTGACTGGGGCAGTCTTCCTGCCCATCCTCTTCTTCAGACCCAGGAGAATAAGCCATCACAAACCCTGGGGGTCTCTGCTAGAAGAGCTCTTCTGAGAAGCTAATAAATTCTCTAAGAAAACAGCAATGCCAACCTATCCCCCCAGGGTATTTTTTAACCATTTTCAGAGATATTGCTAAAGTGGCAATTCTGAGAATCAACTCACAGGTGCACAAGAACCTGCCTGATGGGCCCTGCTCTGAATTAGGCCATCAGCATCATGTGACACATGCTGTGCCTCTTTATGATTCTCTGCTTAGAAATAAGAGGGTCTGCCACCATTTTAGGAACTGTATCAGGATGACTGTTTGAACTGCATTTTAAAATTTGTTTTTGAAACCCAAAGAAAGTTTTCAACATCTCTCCTGCTCCAACCAACTTAGGCAAGCCCCTTTGTACTCCTTGTACCTAATTAGTTCCCTAGTAATATCTGAGTCTTTCATCTTGTGGACATAATACCAGAGGTGTTGGGATTATCCCTGTCAGCTGCTTGCCAGCTTCCGCGTACTGCTGGAAACTCACAGTGGGTCTGTCACCGCGTCCAATCACGTCTGTCTTTCCCCAGTTTCCTGGGAAACCAGCACACAGCACCCCTCCATATCACACAGGAAACTTAAAAAAAAAAAAAAAAAAAAAAAAAAAAAGACCCTGCAGCCTGCAGCATTTCCTTCAAGTCAATAATTCTAACTTAGTAAAATACATCCCCATTAAAAAATAATAATGTCATATAAACAATCAACAGCCCATCAGCCAAAGGAGGAATGGTGTTTTAATCCCATACTCTCTTGTGAGGGCCTTCCCAGGAGCAGCGGACTCCCGTTTCTCCCTTGACGAAGAGCAGGGAGCAAGGGGGCCTTCTGAGTCTCTGGACCCTGACTCCTTCTGCATGGTGGTTGAGTTCCTCACCACGGCCCAGAAAGCCACTTGGCTAGATCTGCAACCCAGGCCACTCACGGCTCCAGCCACCCACCTGGTTGCCCACTGAGTTCTGCTCTTCCAGACATGCGTGAAAACCCCGGGTAGATGCCATCCAGCTCAGCTAAGTCATGTGTCCACTTATTAGCCAAACGCTGCTTTCTCAGGGACAGTCATTCACCCCTGTACAGGGAAAAGCAGAAAGGGTCATTCCTGAAGGTCATTCAGGAAGGTCAAAGCCCAGACAGGAACATAAGACACCTCCATTAGCTCCTGCCAGGAGTGCTTAGCACCCACGCTGGTCACAGAGCCCTCTCTCGATGCTGTACGACTTTGAAATTTAGGTTGAGAAAATGCACAATGATACAAGTATAGTTACTAAGACGGCTCTGATGAAACTGTATGTCTTAGGCATGGAGGAAAACACGGGGGTGTGGACCGTGGGCCGCCATTCTCTATGCTGAGCTGGACAGGCGCTTATAGTGCTGACCCCTCCACAATGCGGAGCCCCTTCCAAGCACCCCCATTTCCTTAGGCCACAAACCCGGCTAGATAGCTGCAGTGAGGGGTGGTCAGGGACGGGAAGAGCCTCCCCAGTCAGGGTGTCTGCAGGGTCACCAGCTGGGTGCTGCATGAGTGTTGGCTTGGATGATTCCTGCCCCGCTAGGACTTGACCTAAGACCCACCATTCAAAGCATTTCCCCGCCCTCTTCTTAAACTGTGAAGAGGGTGTCTCTCAAGTGTTACTGAAAAGCCTTCATTTCTGCTACTTTTTTTTTAAGATTTATTTATTTATACAAGTACTGGGGTACAGGCCAGAGGTGTGGAGGTGAGAGAATTCACCAGAGACAGAGCGGGGAGAAGAACAGGCAAAAGGACCGAAATGCACTGCTAAGGGGAGCAGCAGGCAAGACAGGAGAGGTCTGCTGCGCCATGTGGGACTCTCCCTGGCCGGCCGGGAATCGAACTGGTGCTGCAGAGGCTGCGGACAGCTCCACAGCGCTGCGCTCAACCTGCTGCGCCACTGGGGCATTTCTGCTACTTTTGACAGTGGTACCAGTGCGGGGTGTGGCCTCACTGTGTCCCTAGTAATGACCCTGAGAAGGTCACTCTTCCGTGGGCCTGATTCCTTCAGACACACAGTGAGATCTACAGAGCTCTTCTCACCTTTCCTATGCGAGCATCCTCTGAGTGAGGACAGTGAGCGGGGGTACCCAGAGCACCAAAGACAACTGGAATGGTAGACTCAGTCTTCAGGTGGTCATGGCCTTGACCCCCACTTGTGAATCCTCAAGCCAACAGCTGCGGTCTGTTCCCAAGTGTCTGCGATTTTCTCAGGAGGAAAGGGAGGCCTTCGGTGCATTTCAACGTGTGCTCTTTTCCTCTGTGCTTCAGGAAATTTAGACCCAAGCTCAGTATCTGCATAAGTGACTAACCCCATTCAGGGATAGGTCACAGATCCCTTCAGCTTCCTTGGGTGACCTTTATTCTCTCTCCTGCCTGTCTCAGTTTACACAGAGTTTGCCTTGTAAGCTACTTCAAGGCCTCTGGGAAACGGGAGAATAATCCTTTAACCACAGCTACAAATAGAGGAACCTGATGCCTCACCTGAAACCCTTGAGGCAGATCATCGAAGAATTTGGTGTTTCAGATTTGGGAATATGTCGTTTATTATGTATCGTCTCCAGCAGGACCCAGGCAGCAATCTGCAAGGAAACACATTAGTATTTCTGCAGCAAAACACCAGAATATTCACACTTAATAGCCTCATATCAGTTCAGCGCAGGGTTAGCTGCCAAATTAGCTCAGTTCAGGTCAGGCTTTGCCACCAAATGAGTTACAAAAGCAACCTGATTTCCAGAGCACTGTGGGCTTTGGGATGACAGATAGGGATGCATGAATCCTTTCAGCTGATGCAGGCCTGGAGTTGGGAGCCAGTCCTGTCTGCTGGAGATGCAAGGCTCAGGCTTGGCTCCCGCCCCCACCCCACCCCCAAACCCCGAGAGACCCATCTATAAAAAGGGAATTATAATACCCACCTCAGGATCACTGGCAGGTGCAGAGATCACGTGGTTGGGTTATCTGGCATGTGATCTGTCCACTGAAGAGAAGCCACTGTCACCTCTGTCATCGTCATCTGGTAATGGAGGGACTGGGTGCTCTGCATCTCAGGAGTGTCAGGAGGGGACATTTTTCAGTCCTGCACTTACTTGTGCTCTGACAAAGTAAAAAGGAGAGGAACCACCGGTGCCGGCAGTTCGGCAGTTCGTGATTCCACAATACAAGGAGTTTACACTAAGGTCCTGGGGAGCTCAGGACTGTGACTAACCCTTTGAGTCTTCGAGGCAGTCTGTGCCCTAAATGCCATGCAGGCCGGTGACTGGAGTGTGAGGGACAGCTCAGGGTGGGGCCCAGTGGCCAAGCCAGTGTTACGTGGGCTGACCGTCCTGTCTATAAATACCTGCTATGTTTCCAGCCTCTGGGAGTTTCTAGGTGTTGGTCCGCACAGCAGAACCAGGGCCACCTGCTGGGCACCATCCACTGCTCCTGAACCCCCGACCGTGAGGGTCCCAGGATCCTGTCTGGGAGAGGAAACTGGAGCCCTCCACCCTCAGGGAAAAAAATCGTTTCCACCTCTACTTTCCACCTCAAATGATTTAAATCAACCCAAAAGACCATAAAAAAACATGAGTTTTGCTTTAAGAAAATGAACAAAGAAACTGTGTGCACTAAATGCTCTTAATGGAAACTACTGATTTATTTTATTAAAAGAAAAGGGGGGAAGCTCTCAGCAGGACTAATCTGCAACATCAATGGGCTGCCGGGTCTCCCGTGGCTCCTTTGTAACCGGGTGGGGAAGCGCCGGGAGGGGAGTGGAGTGGAGACGGTAGACATCAGCCGCCCTCACTTGGCCTGGTTCTCAGCTGCCCCCCCACAGAGGTCTGCGTGGAGGCGCCCTCGCATAAAAATTGATGTCCCGTGGAGGGCACACCCTCCTCAGCAACACCGGGGTTGCCTTCCCTTTGGCCCACGGCAGCGGGCGCGGCAGTCTCAGAGAGCTCACGGCCCTGCCCCTGCCCCTTCTGTTGCTCTTCTGTGTTCTGGGCTGTGGGGACACCCTGAGCCTCCCCTTGAGACCATGGAGACCTCTCCCGGGGTGGGAGTGCCCTGTAGACGCTTCCTGGTCCCAGCTCAGGCGGACCACGGATGAGGGAGCAGAGACTCAGGAGCATCTGAGAAAGCACGCCGCCCCGCTGGGGTGGGTGTGCAGACCTGAGCTCAGCAGGGCCTCTGGCTAGGGCAGGCCTGGGGAGGTCTGTGGCACCTTGCATGGAGGGTGGGCAGGCTTGGGCCTGGGTGGGAGGAAGGAGGAGAGCAGAAACAGCTGACAGGCAGCGGCCCGGGGCCCGGCCTCCTGGCCACACCTTGTGCTACCCATGCCCACCCTTCCCTTGGCCGCCTTCCCCTGCCTGACCATCACCCCCATGACCACCACCTTCCCAGGACCCTCCCTCCCTGGCCACCCCTGCCTGTGCACCTCTGAGCCATGTCCTCCCCTGTGACCTCTTGCGCCCCCTGACCCCCCCCTGCGGCAGCCCCCCCATGCTCACACGGCCACTGTCCCCCCAGGCCACCGACTCGGAGTACGAGGACGCGCCCCCGCAGCACTCCTTCGTCAACCACTACATGAGCGACCCCACCTACTACAACTCGTGGAAGCGCCGCACCCCGCACCGGTACGAGGCGGTGGCGGGCGGAGAGGCGGGGCCGCACCTGCACACCGTGGTGACCACGCAGAGCGCCGTGTTCGCGCCCCCCGGCCCCGGCACCCGGACTCCCCTCACCGGCTTCTCCTCCTTCGTGTGAGCCCGGCCGCCCGGGGGGAGGAGGCGAACTCTGGAGTCTATTTTTGTTAAGACAATCAACTCCACTAACGGAGCCCGAGTTTTTGTTTAAAAACAAATTCTGATACGTGCTGATTTTACCTACTTGTGAACACTAGATTTCAATCCAGAAGGTTTTTTTAACGGCTTTTTGTACCATCGCTGCAGGAAGCGGGTTTCTTTCTTTTTTCTTTTCTTTTTACGAGAAGGTGTATTTCACTGGTGCAATGGCTTGGCACCCCGGACTTCGGAAGACCTCAGACCTCCCAGTCCTGGGCTGCTTCATCCCGGGGGCCCAGCGAGGAAGATGGAGGGGGAGCGGGGAGACCCCCCTCCCGCAGGCAGGCCCTCCTCCCTCCTCCCTCGGCCTCCTCTGCCTCCGGCCCGGCGCACCGACTCCATCCTGCAGGGCCAAGGGCTCCAGGCTCAGGCGTGGGGTTTGATGAACGAATGTTTGACCTGGGCTCAGTGCTTCCTGACCCACTGCATCCATTTCTGGAATGTTCTGTCAGCAGTTTCTAGGCGAGGGAATCAGCTGTGAGGTTTCTAGCAACCAGCGGGGACCAAGGGGCATCTCCTGACGCTGGGATGGCTCAGCGGCCCGGTGTGTCCTTCCAATGCTGAAATATTCGGGACGTTTTTCTTTCTTTCTTTCAATCCAGTAGTGCAGGACAGGAGACCTCCCCTGCGGCGGAAGCCATCACAGCGGCCCTTAGCGAGCTCGCTCCTGTCCTGAGCACGCCGTGCAGCCCAAACGCTGCCGGAGAGGAAACAGAGTGGCGTTTGCAGAGTCGCTGGTGGTGTACGGAGTGTGCATTGTTAACCAGAGTATTTTTTAAATCTTTTTATCTTTTTTTAAAAGATGTCACATGAAATGAATGAGTCTTTGCTGTCTCCAGGTGCCTTTTTATTAATTATTTAGCTTTGTACATGAGAAAAGCGACAGTGTCTCCAAATAAAGCAAAGCAGCTCTGAGAACACGAGGTCCTAGTCGCGCGCCCCCCAGGTCCTCCTGTGTGAGGAACTGGCCTCCACCCCAGTCCGGTCTTAGGTCTGCTTGTCTGCCTCCCGCTGCTTCTTGAACCCCCAGTGCTGCTGTCCCTGCCCCCCTCAGAGGCCAGCTTTTAGCCTTAACAGGTTTTCTGGAAGCTTTTTTCCTTTAATTGTTAGGGTTTTGTTTTCATTTTTAGCAAAAGGAAAATAGCATGAAATAATTTGAAAAGTTTAAAGTCCAAACTAGCTCTCCTCCAGCCCATCCCATTATTATTGCAACAGAGGTCTGGGGTGGCTGGGGTGTGGGTGGTCAGTCCCCCAGCTCAGAGCCCAGGTCTAGAGGTCACAGAAGTGCTGTTAGTGCGGCACCCTGCGAGCCCCCACATCCCTCTGGCCAGCCAGAGTGTAGCCAAGCAAGACACACACCCACTCTACCTACATCCCCCAAGCGCAGGGGAGCAAGGCAGGATACAGGGGGGGTCCTCCCAGGTGATCAGTGCCTAAAGATGGGGTACGGTGGGGCCCAGCGGTGTTGAGGCCACTAGTAGAGCACATGGTCTGTGCGTGGCCCTCTCCCTGCACCTCCAGGGTGGAGGGGTGACTTGACCCTCTGCCTTCACAGTTGCTGGATGTGGCCCCAGGAGACCAAGGAGAGTTTTGTGTTGGATGGAAAATCTCTGCAGTTTTTTTCAAAAATAAAGAGTGTGGAAAGTCTCCTTTCTTTCTCTCTCCCCTGCCCTCCCTCCTTCCACGCCTTCTGTCCTGCTCTTTCTGAGTGGAGGGGAATATATTCTAAACCAAAAATCTTAGATGCTCTGCCCAAAGCCACTTTCGCATGAGAATTTCTCCACCCACCCACCCCCTAATGTCCCGACCACTGCACAGGACCCACCTGGGGGACCCACCTCCTTCCCCTCAGCCCCAAAGTGGACAGGAAACCGCGTCGCTGCAGCGGGAACTCCTGGAAGACAAGCGATCGGTGGAAACGTGGACAGACACTGCCTTCCGTGCACTTTGACTGCCTCCTAAGCCATACGGACATTGCTTTAACTAATGGGGAAATGCTGGACCATCCTAGGATGCGGACAGTTCGGTTTGAGGTGTGTTTTTGCTTTTGGGTTTTTGTGACAACAACATGACACCTTTTTATTCAGGCTCATATTTCCTGTGTTCTCTCTACTTTCAGTAAACTTTTTGGTATGGCATTGTCTGTACGAGGTTGCACTGGCACTGGCTGCTGATGGACTGTTAACATTCTCACCCCGTCCTGTCGCCGCGGCCCCTGGCCCAAGAGAGCCGCCTCCTTCCCAGAGCGCTGTGGGCTTTGGCAAGTGTCCACCCCCCGCCTTTCATCTTTAGGGAGGGAAAACAAGTCACAATAGGAGAATGGACACTGGATTTTAATCTCAGTTCTGGAATAAAGGACAAGCCACCTTTCCTTTACCAAGGCCAAGGGAAATGTCCTCTCTTCGCCTGCTTCTGGAGCGTGGCATTTAGGTGCCTCACAGTGAACAGCAGCCGCGTCCTCCCTGGAAGACCTTCATCCGTCTCGTCTCGGAGAGTGTGGGGTGAGCTGCCCTTCCAGGCGAGGGGTGCAGAGAAGCAGCAGGAGGCGCCAGGCTCTCTGTCTGAGCTGCAGGGGTGGTGTGCAGGTCTCAGCTCGCCATGAGGGCCCCCAGGGCACAAGTCTCCAGAGAAGTGAGCCCTCAGGGCAGAGCTGTGGGTGTCCCTGTGCCCCCTGTGGGCTTTATGCACATCGCCTTGCCCCCCCCCCCGCCCCCCCCCACACCTCCACCCTCTTAACAAATTGCCCCCACTGAGCCCTCTCCTCCCCCGCCTGCCCCGAGCCCCTCCCTACGGTGCTCTTCGGAGCACGCAGGAAATGTCATAGCCGGAGAAAGGTGACAGAGGGCCATGTGGGGCCCGTCCCACTGCGCACAGGTGCTGGGCCTCGCCCCGTGAGCTCTGACAGCCCAGAGGGCGCGGGTCACTCTGTTCGCCTCTGTTGATCCTGTGCTTGCGCCTGGTGACGATGGACTGAAGCATGGTGTTTGCATAAAAGTTTGTCGCATGGTCTTAGTTTTACGAGTCCTTGACACACAGTGTAGCTATTCTCCCAGTGAGCGGTCAGTCCGCGTGTCTGAGCACGGCTCTCCTCGCTTCAGCAGCCCCGTAGCACGGACCCAGGCCGGAGCGGGAGAGCCACGGAGGAGTCCAAGGACGGGGCCAACCCGCCCAGGCGCCCCTCAGTTCCTCTCCAGGTCACCTTCTGCTTTGTCAATAGCTTAGGTTGGTCCTGAGGTTTTCCCAGCGACATTTTCTGGAATTGTGCAGAAAACCCGATCTCCTTTTCAAAAATACTGTAGGAAGACAGAGAGGTGCTATGGGTGCAATTTTTAATAAAAACGTCATTTGGTTCCTTATGGCCTGTGATTTTCTTCAAGTTTTGATGAAATGACTCATGAATTCTAGGGCTATAAAAGTAAGTAAACTCTGAAACTTCACCCTGGTGCTGCGCTGAACCCCACACACCGCTGCCCCACACCCACTCCTGCTGACACGCGAGTGTGCCTGGACAGCAGAGGGAGGGAGCTCAGAGGGCCTGAGCGCTCCCAGCGGCCTGGCCGGCAGCCAGGTGGCCAGGGGCAGGCGGTGAAGCTGAGCGTCCCCGAGAGCTCAGCAACCACCCAGGGCAACCACCCAGGGCAGGGCCAGGCTCGCTACTGGCTGTGCCCCCTAAAGACTTCATAGGTGCCGGGAGGGGAGACTGCCCTTAGCCTTGCTGGGAAGAGTGCAGGGCCAGAAGAAACTGCCTCCCCTCCACAGCAGTTGTCCCCCAAGTGGGGGGGTCTCTGGAGATTCAGGGGAACTCTGAGTGAAAGAGAAAGAAGGGTGGTCACCCCCTTTCCTGGGGGGCACAGGCAGGAGGTGCGGCTGCAGTGCCAGGATTCATCTGGGGAGGCGCAGCTTTACGCTCCTCCTCCGGTTCCAGCCGCCTCAGGATGGGGGTTCTCCTCCCTGCTGTGTCTTAGAGTAAAACTCCTGGTGCTCAGGCCACACCCAGACCAGCTAAGTCGGAGTCCCTGATTCCCTGGTACAGCCAGGAGGGGTGTCCACTGCCGGGGTGGGGGAGGGGCAGTTGAAGAAGAGGGGGCGCCATGAGTCCCCACCTCACCCTTTCAGAATACCTTCATTTCTCTCTCTTTTTCTCAACATTGTCCACCTACATTCCAACCCCCCTAAATATGAAATGAAAATCTGCACATTTTCAATATTTGGGAATGGCAGCTGCCTTATGACTTGTGTTGGACAACCATGTGCTGGGCAGCCGTCTGCGTTCTTTGCATTTGTTAATTCATAGAGCTCCACCAGGAGCCAGTGGGGGGGTGCAGTCAGTGCCTCACTTATAGATGAGGAAACACCCACAAGGAAGGGGAACCACTTGCCCCAGAGCAGACAGTCAGCAGACAGCCATTCTCTTAGGCGCCCCAAGCTGGGTTCATGGGGCGCTCCAGGCCATACCCAGGAGGTTGGTTGCTACAGCGCTGAGATCCTGAACGTCTGCATTGCTCTGCCTTCCAGAAGCCACCTGCTCTCACCTGAGCTCTTCTCAAACCTGTGAGCAGCTCGCTTTGGAGATGACAGAAACACCGCCAAGCCTCGCACCCTCTGGCACCTGCACGGAAATGTGGAGAAAGAGATTTTTCTCTTCCCCATTCATTCTGGCCTGTGTTGATACAGAGGGCGTGTGAGTTAACTTGGCGTGTTATAGAGAGCCTTGCCATAACTATTGTCATTGCTAATACTATTATTATTAAAAACTTAATGGAAGAACTTCTGAAAAGAAACCTCCATTGTCCTGCTGAGTGACAGCTAGGTGTACCGGAAGGAAGGAGGATGAATGCAGGAGAAAAAAGCTGCCTGGGGCTGGAGGAGCTAGAGGTCCTGGGAGTGTCCTTAGGCCAGAGGGAGGGGTGGGCAGGAGGGGCGGAGCCAGCAGACACCACCTCAGCAAAGCACCTCTGAGGTGAGCTGGGCCCCAGTGTGGGTGGGGGTCTCACAGGGCTTTGGCTGCTAGGAAGCCACTCAGCCAATAGCTCTTAGGCCAACTGTGGGTCGTGGCTTCCACCCCTAGGGACATGTACAGAGGACCCCTCCGAAGGGCCATTTTCTTAGGGGCCCGAGCTAGGTTCCTGGGGTTGTGCTCCCCCCCCAGCCCCCCCCCCCCCCCCCCCCCCCCCCCCCCCCGTGAATGTGAATCTCCAGAAAAACAAGCTGGGGGCGCCTTGGATGAATGACCTGACTTCCCAGGGCAACATGTCTTCCTGCCATTTTCCAAGCTTGATTCAATTCGGAGAGCTCCCTGCACCCCCTCAGTAAGCTCTCTTTGCTTAACCTAGCCCAGGACTGCGCCCCTCCTTTGAAGGAGAACCCGCTCCTTGCCCCTGGAGAAGCCGCTCAGTCCCTCGGTCTCAGAGGCTGTGCCCTTTCCCTGGAAGGGCTGCTGGGAGGCTGCTCCCCAGGGGTTCTCCAGGGGAAAACCAATAGGGTGAGGCGGTTCCAGCCAAGACAACCGATGGGCCGCAGCTGGTGCCGCCTAGATCGCAGGCGCTGTGGGTGTCAGCCCTCGGCAGCTTTGCCGCAAAATGAGGCATTTCCAGAGAAAAAAACAAAACGTTCCATGAACATCATGAGCTTGTTTTAAACATCCCAGCCTGGCAGAGTCCTCCTGTGCGGGTCAGCATTGCTCGGTACCCGCCCCCCGCCCCCCCGCATCTGCGGGGCTGGCTCTGTGCACGCTGCCCCCCACCCTCAATGCCGCATCGTCCTGACCCACAAGGGAGAAGCGGTTTTGAGGTTGGCCTTATCTCCTTCCCAAGAAAACCGAAATTGGACAAGGTGGTTGCTGACGTCTATGACAATCACAACTAGGTTTTAGGGGTTTAGTTTTGCGATGCAGTAGAACCGTATTCAGAAACTTTATTCGGGAGCCACGGAAGCTTTGAAAGCCTTCTGCTCAAACAGCCTATTTTCCTGAAATGATTGGTTCGCCAGACGTGTATTTTTAAATGATTTGACTATGTCCATGGCTTTGCTCGTGCGAGTGCCTTGGGATTTGCCAAAACCTCTTTTCCTTTAAATGGCTTAAGTCAATTAACAGCCAGCATGGGCGAAAATTCCAAGCTGTTAATTTTGGGCTCTGCGGTCTTTGCATGTCCTGCTTCCCCTCAGATAAGACAATATTCTGCAGTCATTAAGCAAACACCACATTACAGGGTTGAATTTGATCCAGCCTCAAACATTAGAGTAAAAAATTCATATTTCTGAAGCATCCTGAAAATGTTTTGGTGGAATTCTCTAGCCAGCAGATAGGGAAAGTGGCCTGCTGATTTGGGGCCCGGAGAGCCCCATGGCACCCCAAAGGGACCCCAGAAGGAAAAAAATCCCATTCAGTTAGTAGAGCCCAGTGTAGGTAGATGAGGGTCTGTGCCTCTCCAGGAATATTTTTCAAGATCATCGGGCACAGGAAAATTGGGGGCTCCCGCTCCAGAGAGAGGTGTGAGAGACACCAGACAGAAGCCTGAACCGACCTCTCAGACAGCCTCCCGGGCATTGCCGGCAGAGAGAGCCTCATGCGGGCCCCCAGCGAGGGAAGCCTCGCCGGCATCTCCAGGAGCCCCTCTTCCTTACCCCCTCCATAGACCCACTCAGCGCCCCGCGCGGGCCTGGCCCTGCACACAGCCTGGCGTCACACAGGGCACCAGGCCACATACGCCAGGAGGATGCATTGCGCCACATCCATACATGGAACCCACATGGCTCTTTAAAAGAACGAGGTGAAATTCCATACGTGGACACAGAGCAAGCTCCCAATAAAACTGTTTTGTGCAAAAGTAAGTGTGTTCCTGCTGTGTGCGTGCCTGCCTGCCCGTGTGTGCGTATGTGCAATGCACACACCAGATGCTGGCATGTGCAGAGACTGGCTCTGGGAGACAGCATGAATCTGGTGCCCACTGCCATTTAGTATTGCCACTAGGGAGGGCCAGAAGGAGAGGAACTGAAGGGAGAGAGACTAGCTTCATACCACTGAATTTTTCAATATACTCATTTATTATCTTTTCAGTAACAAAGAGAAAAGTGGCACTATGCCAGGGCACCTGGGCTGAGTGGGCCCCCCCCCGGCCATGCCCCCAGGGCCTGCCCTCTCTGGGCATCCTGAGCACTGGACGTGGACATGACTTGTAGAAGATGGGCCTCTTCCTCGCTCTGTGGTCCTGGGAAATTCACTAATCCTGTCTGATCTTTTCTGTAACGTATCACCAGGTTATTTTGAGGCGTGAGTCAGAAGTGGATGGGAAAGCAGGTTCAATTCCAAAACTAGCATCCTCTGTTCCCATTGTCACCCCTGAGGCCGTCCCAGGCACCTTGAGTAAGAAAGAGTGGCCTGCTGGTGGACACCTCCTCGTCCTGGTCACCTGGGGGTCCTCGGGAGGAAAGAAGCGGAAGAATCTGCAACTGATCGGATAAAGAGGCCGGGAGTGCCTCGCCCAGCCACACGCAGGGCACTGTCAACCCTCTCCTGGCTATGGGGTTTTGGGGAAAAGTTGCCCCATGTACAACAAAATACACAACCCTGGTTTCAAGCAGTTCACCCTGGAACCAGCCTGTGGTCAGCCTTTCAACGTGGGGCAACATATGCTCTTTTGACTAACGATTCGTTCCTTGGGTCTGTTCATCTTCCATTCAAAGTTGTCCTGAAAAGTGACACATTTATCTTGCA